GATTTTTTTTGCAATTTTCATGCCAAATTTGCCAAAATACGTAAGGCTATAGTCTTACCGTCGTGTGCTGTTCTGTACCGTTTCTAAATTCCTTTCATTTTTTGTGAAAACATTCAAATTGGTGGGAAAATGTCTGTACAATGTGTATTGTATCCAAATTCTGACACATTTTTAAAAAAATAATGTTTTATTGTACACCAAAATCCTCACTTCCAAAAATCTTAGACTTGTTTTACTGAAAATACAAGTTTATTTTTGTTTAAAATCTTTTCAAAATGTCTCAGCACAGTCTGGAGACTCAGTTACGATCTAATTTACACCTAAAATTCACTTTGCATTTTTTATGAAAAATTTGCCAAAATACGTAAGGCTATAGTCTTACCATCGGGTGCGTTTCTGGGCCGATTCTATATTCATTTAGTTTGTATGTAAAAACATTCAAATTAGTGGGAAAATGTCTCTACAATGTTTATTGTATCCAAATTTCAAGTAATTTTTTAGAAAATGATTTTGTTGTGGTACACCAAAATCCTCATTTCCAAAAGTTTAGACTTGTTTTACTGAAAATACAAGTTCATTTTTGCTTAAATCTTTTCAAAATGTCCCTGCACAGTCTGTAGACTCAGTTACGATCTAATTTACACCTAAAATTCACACTGCATTTTTTATGCCAAATGTGCCAAAATACGTAAGGCTATAGTCTTACCATCGGGTGCGTTTCTGGGCCGATTCTATATTCATTTAGTTTGTATGTAAAAACATTCAAATTAGTGGGAAAATGTCTCTACAATGTGTATTGTGTACAAATTTCAAGTAAATTTTTAGAAAATTATTTTTTTTGTGGTACACCAACATCCTCATTTCCAAAAATCTTAGACTTGTTTTACTGAAAATACAAGTTCATTTTTGCTGAAATCTTTTCAAAATGTTCCAGCACAGTCTGTACAATCACTTACCATCTAAATTACACTTCAGATTTTTTTTGCAATTTTCATGCCAAATTTGCCAAAATACGTAAGGCTATAGTCTTACCGTCGTGTGCTGTTCTGTACCGTTTCTAAATTCCTTTCATTTTTTGTGAAAACATTCAAATTGGTGGGAAAATGTCTGTACAATGTGTATTGTATCCAAATTCTGACACATTTTTTAAAAAATAATGTTTTATTGTACACCAAAATCCTCATTTCCAAAAATCTTAGACTTGTTTTACTGAAAATACAAATTTATTTTTGTTTAAAATCTTTTCAAAATGTCTCAGCACAGTCTGGACACTCAGTTACGATCTAATTTACACCTAAAATTCACTTTGCATTTTTTATGCCAAATTTGCCAAAATACGTAAGGCTATAGTCTTACCATCGGGTGCATTTCTGGGCCGATTCTATATTCATTTAGTTTGTATGTAAAAACATTCAAATTAGTGGGAAAATGTCTCTACAATGTTTATTGTATCCAAATTTCAAGTAATTTTTTAGAAAATGATTTTGTTGTGGTACACCAACATCCTCATTTCCAAAAATCTTAGACATGTTTTACTGAAAATACAAGTTCATTTTTGCTGAAATCTTTTCAAAATGTTCCAGCACAGTCTATAGAATCACTTACCATCTAAATTACACTTCAGATTTTTTTTGCAATTTTCATGCCAAATTTGCCAAAATACGTAAGGCTATAGTCTTACCGTCAGGTGCGTTTCTGGACCGTTTCTGTATTCTTTTCATTTTTATGTAAAAACATTGAAATAAGATCTAAAATCTCTCTACAATGTTTTTTGTATCCAAATTTCAAGTAATATTTTGGAAAATGATTTTGTTGTGGTACACCAAAATCCTCATTTCCAAAAGTTCATTTTTGCTTAAATCTTTTCAAAATGTCCCTGCACAGTCTATAGAATCACTTACCATCTAATTTTCACCTTAATTTCACTTTGCATTTTTCATGAAAAATTTGCCAAAATACATAAGGCTATATAGTCTTACCGTCAGGTGCGTTTCTGGACCGTTTCTAAATTTCAATAAATTTTTATGTAAAACCATTCAAATTGGTGGGAAAATGTCTGTACAATGTGTATTGTATCTAAATTTCAAATAAATTTTTAGAAAATCATTTTTTCTCTTACCTTAACATTGTCATTTCCAAAAATCTTAGACTAGTTTTACTGAAAATACAAATTCATTTTTGCTTAAATCTTTTCAAAATGTTCCAGCACCGTCTGTCGAAACACTTGCCATCTAAATTACACTTCAGATCTTTTTTGCAATTTTCATGCCAAATTTGCCAAAATACGTAAGGCTATAGTCTTACCGTTGTGTGCTTTTCTGTACCGTTTCTAAATTCCTTTCATTTTTTGTGAAAACATTCAAATTGGTGGGAAAATGTCTGTACAATGTATATTGTATCCAAATTCTGACACATTTTTTAAAAAAAACTATTTTTTACTGTACACCAAAATCCTCATTTCCAAAATCTTAGACTTGTTTTACTGAAAATACAAACTTATTTTTGCTTAAATCTTTTCAAAATGTTCCAGAACAGTCTATAGAATCACTTACCATCTTATTTTCACCTTAATTTCACTTTGCATTTTTTATGAAATAAATTTGCCAAAATTTTATGAAATAAATTTGCCAAAATACTTAAGGCTATAGTCTTACCATCGGGTGCGTTTCTGTACCGTTTCTAAATTCCTTTCATTTTTATGTAAAAACATTGAAATAAGTTCTAAAATGTCTCTACACTGTTTATTGTATCTAAATTTCAAGTAATTTTTTAGAAAATTATTTTGTTGTGGTACACCAAAATCCTCATTTCCAAAAGTTTAGACTTGTTTTACTGAAAATACAAGTTCATTTTTGCTTAAATCTTTTCAAAATGTCCCTGCACAGTCTGTAGACTCAGTTACGATCTAATTTACACCTAAAATTCACTTTGCATTTTTTATGCCAAATTTGCCAAAATACGTAAGGCTATAGTCTTACCATCGGGTGCGTTTCTGGGCCGATTCTATATTCATTTAGTTTGTATGTAAAAACATTCAAATTAGAGGGAAAATGTCTCTACAATGTGTATTGTGTACAAATTTCAAGTAAATTTTTAGAAAATTATTTTTTGTGGTACACCAAAATCCTCATTTCCAAAAATCTTAGACTTGTTTTACTGAAAATACAAGTTCATTTTTGCTTAAATCTTTTCAAAATGTTCCAGCACAGTCTGTACAATCACTTACCATCTAAATTTCACTTCAGATCTTTTTTGCAATTTTCATGCCAAATTTGCCAAAATACGTAAGGCTATAGTCTTACCGTCGTGTGCTTTTCTGTACCGTTTCTAAATTCCTTTCATTTTTTTCTGAGAACATTCAAATTGGTGGGAAAATGTCTGTACAATGTGTATTGTATCCAAATTCTGACACATTTTTTAAAAAAACTATTTTTTTACTGTACACCAAAATCCTCATTTCCAAAATCTTAGACTTGTTTTACTGAAAATACAAACTTATTTTTGCTTAAATCTTTTCAAAATGTTCCAGAACAGTCTATACAATCACTTACCATCTTATTTTCACCTTAATTTCACTTTGCATTTTTTATGAAAAATTTGCCAAAATACTTAAGGCTATAGTCTTACCGTCAGGTGCGTTTCTGGACCGTTTCTGTATTCTTTTAATTTTTATGTAAAAACATTGAAATAAGTTCTAAAATGTCTCTACACTGTTTATTGTATCTAAATTTCAAGTAATTTTTTAGAAAATGATTTTGTTGTGGTACACCAAAATTCTCATTTCCAAAAGTTTAGACTTGTTTTACTGAAAATACAAGTTCATTTTTGCTTAAATCTTTTCAAAATGTCCCTGCACAGTCTGTAGACTCAGTTACGATCTAATTTACACCTAAAATTCACTTTGCATTTTTTATGCCAAATTTGCCAAAATACGTAAGGCTATAGTCTTACCATCGGGTGCGTTTCTGGGCCGATTCTATATTCATTTAGTTTGTATGTAAAAACATTCAAATTAGTGGGAAAATGTCTCTACAATGTGTATTGTGTACAAATTTCAAGTAAATTTTTATAAAATGATTTTTTTGTGGTACACCAAAATCCTCATTTCCAAAAATCTTAGACTTGTTTTCCTGAAAATACAAATTTATTTTTGTTTAAATCTTTTCAAAATGTCCCTGCACAGTCTGTAGACTCAGTTACAATCTAATTTACACCTAAAATTCACTTCGCATATTTTATGCCAAATTTGCCAAAATACGTAAGGCTATAGTCTTATTGTCATGTGCGTTTCTGGCCCGATTCTATAATCCTTTAGTTTTTATGTAAAAACATTCAAATTGTTGGGAAAATGTCTCTACAATGTGTATTGTGTACAAATTGCAAGTAATTTTTTAGAAAATTATTTTTTTCTGGTACACCAGCATCGTCATTTCCAAAACTTTTAGACTTGTTTTACTGAAAATACATATTTATTTTTGCTTAAATCTTTTCAAAATGTCCATGCAAAGGCTGTAGAATCAGTTACCATCTAATTTACACCTAAAATTCACTTTGCATTTTTCATGCCAAAAGTGCCAAAATACGTAAGGCTATAGCCTTACCATGGTGAGCGTTTCTGGTCCACCTCAAATTTCCAACAGCAGCGTCCCGTGTTTACATCTGTGTGCCAGCGAGCGCTTTGTCCTCCTATTGGTTAACATCAAGGAACATTTTGTATATGTCACACTAAGCAGGAAAATACTATAAATTCTGACATGCTGGGCTTTTTGTCGGGGTGTCAGAAGTAAAAAGTTTGTTGGTGTGCAGTTTTACATTTTGTGGAAAATAAGTGAAATAAGTCAAATCAAATCAAGCAAAACTGGAAAAACAACAGAACTTTAAAAATCCTGGCACATTTTACCACCAAACACAGAAGGAAATTATTTTTATCTCGAGAATCTAAATATGAACTTGGAGCAGAAAAATAATGTCGTAAAAAATCAGAGCAGCCACAGAAAATGTAAATACTCAAAAGATTCAGCTTGTTTAATTTAATTATTGAAGAAAAACTTTATATTAATAATGTGTATCAGCCAGTCAGAAACTGCTGTAGAAACGTATCTTCACTGTTAAAGGCTGAAAAAACTCAAACCTGTGAAAAACACACTTCAACGTGAATTTATAAAACCTCAAATGAACTGACGACTCAAACCAGCAACACAAACTAGAGAACAGCAGTCGCTCATTACCCCCTCCCTAAAAAACAGCTCCACTCAATGAGAAGAAAAGACATTTCTGTAAAGTACAATTTCTAAGATTTCTGCGCTGCTTCAAACGGTTTTATCCGAATGTCTCTCGCGTCTCCGTCTCTGCAGCTCTCTGCAGCCCTCTGCTGGTCAATGCGTGTCCTGCCCACAGTGCGTTTGTACGGTCTGCGGGTCAGCGGTCTGTGGGACAGTCTCTGGGTCCGAGTGAGGGTCTCCAGGTGAAAGGCTCACAGTTTGAACCCTGAATGGATGGCCACGACTCCTCCTGTCAGATTGACGTACTGGACCCGGAAGAAACCAGCCTCCTCGATCATCTCCTTAAACGTCTCCTGAGAAAAAAACGACAAAAATGACAGAATGAAGTTCCTCATTAATGTTTCTGTGTTTCCTGCAGAAATGCAGAGCACAGCTTCCACACGGTTGCTAGACTGTTGCAAAGCATATTTGCAAGGTGGCTGATATGGTGTTGCTAGGTGGTTGCTAGGTGTTTTGCAATGTGCAATCATCAATAAAAGCAGCACTAAATCAACATCAGTGAGAGACGATAAACAGAGAGCAGCACAAATCTGAGGATAAATCAATGCACCATCACTAATGGTGGGAGTGGCTACATGATACAGTATCACCATATTCAGCCACAATATGATTCTACTGTAATACGAGGTGTCCCAAAAAATTGACACCATTTCGCAGTTTAATAACAGCCAATTCTCCCTAAAATGATCTCAAATTTTAACAAAATGTATAAAAACTAACCAAGTTTAATTTTTAATGTTTGTTTTTCAGGGTGAAGAACGGCGTTCACTAGAAATGAAAAGGCGTTTAGCGTGTTAGAATCTGCTCGAACACAGTCAAAGAAGAGTGTGCAGCATTTTCCAGAAAATTCAGTACAAATGCACCAACTGGAAAGCAGATTTGGACACGGCACAAAAAACTCAAAGAGGAAGGCTGTCTGTGCAGGACAAAGGGGTCTGGACGACCACCAGTATCGGAAGATATTACATTTGTAAAGCTGAGAAATCGGTTATTAAATCTACATCCCTCTGAATTTCTTGTTCGAATTTTGATAAATAAATCTTGTGTTGTTCAACATGAAGCCTGTTTAATTTAGTTTGCCCAGGACATGTAGTTACTCAGATACTCACATCTCAAATGATGTCAATTTTTTTGGGACACCCTGTATTTAAAGATTCACTATAAGTACTGTGATATGACATATTACAACATACTACAACATATTACTGTAATTACTTCTCCAAAAGAACCCTGTGTGTTTTAATGAAGCTGTGTTTTAATGAAGTTTTCTTTAAAGACCTGCACTCAAAAAGGTGTTTTTCTAAAGCTTAACTTCTCCTGTTTGCTTTATCGTAGCTGTACAGGCTGATATTGGTATAATGTGTTACGGCAGTACAGAGTTCAGTCTTTCGTTAAAAAAAAACAAAAAAAAACTGGTCTATTCAGACATCTGAGAAAGCGATTTGTGGAGTGCTATGTAGCAGCTTGAGCCTATTACAGCTCAATTTGTTCAAATATGCTAATGAGAGGATGTGCCAGGCTCTGACGCAAAATCGGGGACAAGTTTAAGGAATAAAGACTCAAATCTGAGTGAACTCGAGTGACACAGAGAGAATCTTTCTGATTATCACAATCTGTGATTATTAGGAAATATATACATTTTCATAGCTATGTTAACGATACACAGTTACACATTTCTATTCCTATTTCTCACAAAATATCTTACAACTAAAACACGAATAACCTGAAATACTGATCGTTGGTACTGAAACTCCGAGAACGCTGCTTTATGAGAATCTCGGCTCTTTATCTTCATAATCCAAACCTGCAGTAGAAACCTGGGTGAGACTCTGAGCTCTGTTTAATCTGCACGTAAACACAGTCACTAAATCAGCTTTTAAGTTCAGCCTTTTCTCTCTCAGAGCGACACAGAGAGACTCGCTGCTGTGTTTGTTCAGCAGAGTTGATCACTGTAATGATCTTCTTATTGGAGAAAACAGCCCACCCTCTAGAACCCGTACAGAACACAGCAGAACGGATCCTCACAGCACCAACACAGAGAGCTCATATCCCCCCGTTACACGCTGCACTGACCGCCTGGATCTGTTAGAGAGAGTTTAAAGCTCTGCTGCTGGTTTTTAAAGCTCTAAATGACCTTAAAGCTCCTGACCGTCTGTTTATGATCTCAGATCTGCAGATTCTGACCTTCTGAACTCCTTTAGTAAAACACAGAAAACGTGGAGAGACTCTTTCAGTTATTCTGCTTCTAAACTGTGGAGCTCAGTTCAGCTTTTATTAGACAGTCGAGCTCAGAGCTCACTTTTAATAAACACCCCAGCTCTTTAACTCAGAGCTTCAGTAAAACTCTACGACTCTTTGGTCTTTATCTCTTTAACCTGATCTTATATGATTTAAATTAATACTCACCGTTTCTGTAAAGCACTTGGAGCTGCTACGGCTATGAAAAGTGCTCTATAAAGATTATTACTATTTATTATTATTGATTATTATATTTACATATATACAGATTATTTTATTCATAAAGTGGACAACTTAAATGTAAAACAGGCTTAATTCTGTTACATAATGTAACTGAATATAGAATTAAGAGTTTTAACTAAAATCTCTTAATATGATATGAAAGTGGACTGAACTCTGTTCTCTCAGCTGAGCGGCTCCACTCTGACGTCTAACTGGTCCTGATCAGAGCTCAGAATCCTTCATCTCTCCAATAAGAAACAGTGCCCCCTCGTGGATTCAGACAGAAATGCATTTGGTAACCTATTAGTCTAATGGGCTTAATACACATTAAATATATTAATAACTGCGTAATAAAATAATGAGACTTGGGCCTCCGTGTACCAACACTACTTCTAAAACTAAAATAATACCTTATTATAATCCAAACACCTACAGAGTAATTCTGTATTTGTGTGCTGACTTTGTGTGTAAATAAAACTGTACATAAATTAATGCTTGTTATACAAAAACAAAGCATGGATGTTCAGAGCAGATCTGCACACGGTTAGCAAAACAGCTTTAACACAAACACATGTAATTTGAGCCAAACACTACAAACTACAGTCGTGTGTAAAACTTTAGGCACTCACTGACCCCGTACAATTTCCATTGACTACAACACAGAGAGCCGTGTGCAAAGGTTTGTGCACCCCGGTCCAATTCCACGATTTTCTGAGTGTAAGTTACAGATCCTCTACAGAGACTCACTACTGTACACTTTTATACACAATTACTGCTTATTTACTGAACACACTGAAAAAAAGAATAAAAAATGTCCTGTGAAGAAGTTATGGCACATTTTATATTGTGTTTCATTTTTTCCAACGTGTTAAATGCCATATCAGTTGTTAATATCATTGTTATTATTATTATTTTAAAAGAAAAGAGCACTTTATGCCCTGTGATTTAGTATCTGTGAGTGACTCTTGTTCAGATGGAAACGTTGCTGTTCTGATCAGAGTGTTTACATTCAGAGATGGTGAGAAGTTTGGGGAGGGAACGAGGTGTTCAGTAATCTGATATGAATGTATAAAACTTAATGAACAAAGTTTAAAAAGCCATATTTAAGCAAGTTCTCTGTAGAGGGTGCTTCACTTAAATCAACAAATCGACAGAATCTGACCAGGGTGCCCAAACTTTTGCATACAACTGTATTTATGTAATTTCTATGAGATTTTAATTTTAAATCTGTTTTAGCCTGACTCTCAATTTCAGCAGGAAATACCTGCAGGGGGCAGAGCTAAAATAGCCGCTGAATGGACAGAAGCTTAATTCACACGTTTTTTTTTCTCTGTATCTGATAAAACATTAGCCGTGCAGGCTAGCAAAACGCTCAACGATTACGTCTGAAAACAACATATAAACATTTAAACCGTGAGACCAGATCAAATGAACAGATTATAGATTAAAGACAATATCAGTTAATGATAAACGTCTGTCAGATGAGGGCGAAGTTGTAAAAATATTCTGTTGTTGTAAAAGAAACTTTATGAAAAATAAAAACCTGACCTGAATTTACAGACTTTATATGAAACACGTGTCGCGTTACCTGGTCAGGAAACCTGCGGATGCTCTCCACCAGGTACTGATACGATTTCCAGTCTCCAGCGATCACCTCCCCTAAAACTGGAATCATCTGGAAACTGTACACATCATACAGCCTGCAAAACAACAACTGGATCATCATCATCACCACCATCGTCATTATCATGATCACCTCAAACTGAAATGCAGCGAGCATCAAAATTAGTATCATCTGATACTCTAGGTTTTAATATCAATATCGGCCGATACACAAAATTTCTAATTCAGTATCGTCCGATACTCAAATATATATACTCAGATACTTAACCTATATATATATATATATATATATATATATATATATATATATATATATATGGAGGTGAGATGCTGTAAGATCAGACAAAATTCCTAAATTAGGATCAGATTTGATTCTGTAATACGAATCTGTGAAAAATCTTATCTTCACCTAAAAGATCTTAACTTAAGAATAAAGAGAGGAAGTTTGATCCAATTTCGGAGGGCATTTTAACTCTGAGTGTAAACAGGTTCTGGGTTCTCACTGATGTGGTTCTGATGTATCTGAGGGTTCTCCTACCTGGACAGCAGCGGGTTGGACACTTTACTGAACTCCAGACACATGAAGCGTCCGCCGGGCTTCAGAACTCGCAGAGCTTCCTGCAGAGCCTGAACACACAGAGCCGATCAGCGCTGACCCTCCACACCTGCGCTCACCTCCCGCAACACACACTCAACACACAGCTGAACTGGAGTTCATCCTCTCTGACTGTGAGAGTTCAACTACACCTGCTCTCGCTGCTCTCACTTATCTCTGCACTCGCACTGCCTTCACACTGACCACGGAAAACTCACCGCTGTGCTTTCAAACGCACTGGTTTTCATGGGATGCGCAGTGCAGAAAACCGAGTCTGCCGCAGCAGACGCACACTTTTGTGCGACGCGCTTCAGGCGAGTCTTGGCGTGGCCAATAGGAAAGCAGTAGGCGTGTCTTCTAGTTCCTGTCACTACCCAAAAGTCGAGTTTTATCTGAGAGCACCGCCCACTTTCACACCCAACCAACGAGTGCTGGCTGGTGAGCGCAGTGAGAACCGTGTTCGGTGTGAAAGCAGCTTCAAACAAAAACACAGAATCTCATAACTGAGTGAAACAGAAGGAGAACACAGAGCGACAGCTGACAGAAACCTTCTGCAGTTCACACCCCCTGCACACTCATTAATAAACAACTGTTTATTTACTGTGTTTAACTCACTGGATGAAAAGTAAACCACAAAACGCAAGCTGTGCAAAAGATATGGCACAGTTTATATTATATGCTTTGTTTTTTCGCCCCAGTGTGTTAAATTCAGTAAATAAATGGTATTAAAGTGTGCAGCAGGGAGTCTCTGTAGAGGATGTGTGACTTATTTACACTCAGAAAATCAACAAATACATGGAATTTGACCAGGGCGCAAAAACTTTTACACACGACTGTATGTAGTTGGCAGTTATGAGCTAACAGATGAGCAGGTGGGGGTACACAGAGACTTGGAGACCCCCGGGGTAAAGAATATCTGGGTGTGAAGGTGAGACAGTGAGTGTGTTTACAGCAGGCACTGACGTGTTTTCGGTGATCGGATCACGTTCGGATTTCACTGCATTAAAATCCAGGTGTGAACACCTCCAGGAAGCACCGCCGTCGGATTACGATCGGATCAGTTTTGGATGTACTGGGAGGAGTTGGGTTAAATGTGTCGGAGAGACGGATGTGTTTATGCTGCTATATCGTCTCAGATCAGATTTGTATCTGTTTAAATGCGTCTCGGCTGCGTTTACACTTGCATTTTTATGCAGCCTCATCCAGATATAATCCTGATACCTGAGACGCATTAAAGTGACCAGGTGTAAACAAGGTCAGAAAGGGGCACCACTGCACTACAATGCTCATTACAGAACAGCCAAAAAATTCATAAATAAACAGCCCTGACTGATCAGCGCTGCTACGTTGCTGAGTTATGGTATGTATGATGTTGTTTGATGTGCGTCTCTACCTGCTCGATGTGAGTGACGTTGCGGATGCCGAATGCGATGGTGTAAACGTCAAACTGATCGTCGTTGAACGGGAGCTCCTCTGCGTCCCCGACCACCCACGACAAACCTGCACACAATAAACACGGTGACCAGGCCAGTAACAGCACTGACCACCAGCAGCAGCACAGAGCTCTGCAGAGGTGAGATACGCAGCGCCGAACAGCAGCTTCTGCAAATTCTCACTAACACACTTCGGTTTCCTTCTATTGTGAAGGTGAAATAAAGAAGCCGAGCACATTTCATGGCGTCGTGTCAAAACCTCATATCTCCGATTTTTACTTTCAGTTTCTCTAAAGCTGCTGTTTACACTGTGTGAACAGTCGAGACTTTACAACAAAAAACAATATATGTGACAGTTTATGTGTATAAATCATATAAAGGACGGCACTGTTTGATCCCCTGTGTTTAAAATAAAGGGCTCACTAATACAATTTCAGCAATACACAATTTTGTTACTGTGGAGAAAGAAAATGCAAAGTAATTACAATTATTATTATTATTATTATTATAGATAAATCATTTTTAATCATGTAAATCACTCCACAATTATTACTGTCAGACTGTAAAACTACACACGCTGCAGATTTATACTGGATTCAACTGACTGAAGTTCTGACCATACCTGTGGTGATTCCCGCCGTCTCTGCTCGCTCTTTTCCCACCTTCAGCATTTCCTTATTGATGTCACACACCACAGCCCTGGACTCAGCAGGCTCCGCCCCCTCAGAGCCGTAGCCAGCAGCGATTTCCTGCCAGGAAGGCGTCTGATTGGCTCGCGCTCTGTGCCGCAGCTGTCGCTCTCTGACGGAGCGCGTGTACTCCAGGAACCGGAAAGAAATGTCCCCTAAAACAGAACCAAGCATTTCACACCGTTCTCTCGTCCAGTCTGCTCTGTTTATTCAGAGAGAGGGTTCTGCGTTCAGTGGCGGTGCTAGATACAGAGTTAGTTTGTTTATCTAGAACAGGGACTAATACACAGACTAAAGTACATCATTCAGATAAAACAGCAGAACTAGAACCTCAGAGGCAGATCAGTTAATCCAATAGTTTGGGATCAGAACTGAACCTGATCAATATGTACAGCAGCTTCTCTCACTCTCTATCACACACAACACTCAGACCTGTTTACACTCAACAGAACATAATAATAATTAATAATACAACTGATCATTTTTGTTTACCCCAAATCCAACACAAACAACAATAACAATTAATATTTTAATTCATTACTTAACTGTAGCTTTTATTGCTTTTCATCATAAACGAATAAAATTTGGCCCGTTTGATTTGGACCACCAGAGAGTCACTCGCTGCCCCCCAGGACACAAAGTCTGAGCACCCCCGATTTAGCCCAAACACGATATTAATGGTGATATATTTAATAACATATTAAACATCGTGACACATTTAATGATGAATAACGGCAGCTTCTCTTACTCTGTTATAAAATATTAAAATCTGTTTACCCCAAATCCAACACTAATAATATTAATAATATTATAATTAATACATTGTTAATAACACTGTAGCTTTTATTACATTTTATTATATATTTATATCAAACGTGACATTATCATTAATAACTGTATTAATGTCTTTATTGCACTGTAACTTCTCTTTATTATATAAGATTTAATTCTGTTTAGCCTAAACACTAATGATATCAATAATGCATACATAATGAATATTATGTATATTTTATTCTATTAATTGCTATATAAACATATTAAATTGTTATTCTCATTTTTGCAACTGTATATTAGATACAAAATATCATATAAAACTCTTTTTTTTTCTTCTTTTCCGTCTTTTTGCCCCCCCCCAAAAGGTTTGTGCACCCCCCATTTAGCTCAAACATAAAATTAATGACAATAATATAATAATAATGAATAATCAAATTAATAATTGTGTAAATAGCATTGTAGTTTCTATTCCACTTTATTATACAAGACTAAAATATGTTTAAACGACATTATTAATACAGAATTTATGAATAATTAGTGTTAAAATTCTGTAACTCCTCTTTATGTCTTTATTATATACAACCACAGTCTGTTTAGCTCAAATCCAACACTAATAACAGTAATAATGAATAATTACTGAACATAATAAATTTTACTATAAAACTATATATGTATAACTACATGATAAAGCGTTTGTAAAGTAATAATAAAATATGGTATATTGTTGTAAGGTCTTCTTGATTGGCGTACTGTTTTGTCTTTTTGGCCCACCACAAACATTTAACCACCCACCCCCAGCATATAAAGTTTGTGCACCCCTGGATTAACCCAAGCATGACATTAATAACATTAATAACAGATAATATTATTAATTACATTAGTAATGTTGCAGCTTCTCTTACTCTTTATTAGATAAGACTAAAATCATCAGCTGTGAGCGGTGGATGCTGGATGCTGGCGTTGCTGTGGTTACTGGTGGATGCTGGGGTAGTCATGGTTACCTGTGCCTCCAGCTGTGTCCAGCAGTTTTGATCCAGGCTGAGGGTTCATGAGGTGAAGCAGTGAGTCCTTCCACAGCCGGTGGATCCCCAGACTCATCGCATCGTTCATCACATCATATTTCTGAGCCACGCTTTCAAACACCTTGTACACTGACACACACACACACACATACACACACACACACACACACACACACACATACACACACACACACACACATACACACACACACATACACACACACACACACACACACACACACACAGAGAAACAAACAAACACACAAGCATAAAGTGTGAAACCTCAGATCTGTGTGGAAAAGGCTGCATTTCAGTCATTAACATTAGTACGTCACTTATTCAGGGAGTCCAGACTGAGTTCTGAAGGACTTCCTTACAGTTTGAGATTATTTCTGCTTATTTTTATTCCGTTTAGAATTTAATTTAATTTTTTACGTTTGCATTTGAAGCTCGTTATATTTGCGAAGACTTTAAAGCACAAATTTCACATACGTGACTCAGAAATATTGTCCAACGAGAGGCTGAATTTGGCTTCTGTTTTTAGAATTTTCCGTTCCACCTTAAATGGTGCAGCCGTTACTTTCTGGCACCAGAATGTAACAGCTAACTGCACCGTTTAAGGTGGACCGGAAAATTCTAAAAACAGAATCCAAATTCAGCTTGATCAGCCCAGTGACAGTAAAAACAGAAAGTCTGACTGTGTGACCTGAGGAATAAGCCCAGTTAACCCAGTCTGAGTGCAGTACTGTGTAATGGTCCACCTCGCTCTGCTTTCTCTCCCTCCGGAACCGTCTCGAAACCGAAATGTGTGCTGCCCGCCGATTCTCCGCTGCAGCACCGACACGCCGACACTTCTGTCCGTAAAAACGAGTTTCTGAGTCGGTTTCTCGACCCAAAGTTCACATTTGTGTTCGTGATCTTCACTATTTTCCTTGTGAGCTCCTTAAAGGACGCCGCCATCTTTGCTGTGAGTGTAAGCCCAAACGTCATAAGTACGCGACAACCCGCTTTTGTAGTTCGGCTACGCGTTAATGGACTGCAACTTAAAAGTTTTGTCGTTTTATCTGCGTTTTAGCGTTGTTTACTCAAATAGACAACTCGGCGAGGATCTCAGATGACGCAATATTTCCGCTCAAGACCTAAATTTGGACTTTAACGCGTTTAAAACGTTTTTAAAACTTTACGTCAACTTACAGACCTTCAGTCCCAGGACTTTTATTTTAGTGGGCGTTTCTTGAGAGAATTTATAAACACGATAGATAGATAGATAGATAGATAGATAGATAGATAGATAGATAGACGCAATTACTCAAGAGTAAGCACATTATTATTATTATTATTATTGTTGTTGTTTTTTGTTGTTGTTATTATTGTAGTTGGTGGTGGTAGTGGTGGTGATATTATTATTATTATTAATTTCTATGCAGTAAAATACACTAAAAATCTAATTAGCATTACCATTTATATTTATTTATTTTTTATCATTTATTTATTTATTTACTTCTTCACCGTTCCACTAAAAAAAGTAGTTACAGCGGCTTAAAGTGAAACAGTAAAAATGACTGTTTCATAGAAGCTTTTAATCAGTCATCAAAAATTTCTCTTTGGAGAAATTAATGGAGTTTTGAACACAACCAGCAGAGGGCGCAGGTCTGCAGATCTCCCTGTAGAGGCAGTGTGAGCAGTCAGTGCAGTCGGGTCGGCCGTGTTTATTAAGTTTTGGCTGCACCAAAACAGACTACACCACACACACACACACACACACACACACACACACACACACACACACACACACACACACACAAACACACAAACACATACACATACACAAACACACACACACACAAACACACAAACACACATACACACACACACACACACACACACACACTCACACACACACAAACACACACACAAACACATACATACACACACATACACATACACAAACACACACACACACTCTCACACAAACACACATATACATACACACACACTCACAAACTATAAATCTTTTCAAGGTTCCCCTAGAATTCTGCTTTTTAGAAACTCAGGGGCTCCAAGGGGTTAATTAGGGGACTTGGACCCCCTCGGGACCCTCTGTATTTCGCACCTTGCACACCACAGCAGTAGGGGGAGCACAAGAGCAAAAAAGTACCAGTTGTCTCAGAAGCTGTTAAATCACAGTCAGTGTTTTCTGTGGGACAGAAAAACACATTTTCTCGGAATCATTCAGCCTGAACTCCGTCCTGAAACCCTGTTAGAGCCTTTTTGATGCTGCAAGTTGATCTTCATGCTTATCGCAGTTCAACTGAACTGAAATGACATAAGTGAAAGATGTGGGGCAGTTAGGGTGCCGGTTAGCTTAGCCTCATGGTGTCGTTTTCTACAAAAACACTTCTTTATTTATTTGAATCGTCACAGAGATGTTTCCTGTTTTCCGCTCTGACAGTCCTGATTTGGACAGTGCTCCACTGACAGTGGACACACTGGACATTTTGTTGTGTTCAGCTTTTAACATCAGGATCAAAATATATGAAGTACACTTGCATATTAAATACTCTGATTTGAGGGGTAGTGGGGGGGGTTGGAGCTAACGGCTGTATAATGTCCTTTATCCTGTAATTCCAGCTCTGCACCGTCCACACTGTCTCCTTTTCACGGCTCTGCTCTCACACTGAGGCCACTGTGCTCCGGCGACCCTGCAGAGCCCTGACCCTTTAGCCCAGCTCAGCGAAGAGCAGCACATAAAGATGACCATTCTGTGAGAGACGGCCGAGTCACCGAGGTCCCATCGGCTCAATTTACTGCCACACAAAAGCTTCTGCTGAGCTCTGAATGGACTCTGAACTCCGGGGAGGGAGCGGTTTCAGACGGCGAAAGGGTCTCTGTGCGTCTCCTCTCCTTCAGGAGGATCAGGTCTCATCTGGCCTTCAGCGCTAGCGCTCAGCTAGCTCTGAAACCGGACCCGACTGTGGCATTTAGCTCCTCATTACAGCCTTTATTACCGAAAACACTCAGAAAAGAGCTTCTGAAAGTGACCTGAATACAGAAGAACAGGAGCAGCAGGAGCCTCAGAGCTTTCAGTCAGAGTGTTTAGCTCCTGACCCCTGTTTCATAACTGTGTCCTCTTTTTAAGGCTTTAACATTCCTACAGTAAGAGGAGCAGCGTTCCCACATACGTTTCTCAAACACAGTGCTGAACGGATTTTCTGGTGATCTGACTCTGCTGGTCGGACGCTGCCGTGCCCTTTTCTTACAGCGCACAGCTACGTCTTTTATTCGAGACGGTCTGTAAACCCAGCCTTATCAGAGGAAAAGTCACACGCAGAGAGAGTGGCTCGCACTGCGGCTTGTTGGTCTGGCGGACCACCGTTACAGCGTACCGCCTCAGAAACCCACTCCTCCACAGTCCTCGTGTACGAAGTGCTCACTTCAAACCCGACCCAGAGCCGGTTTATGAGGAGTCTGGCCTCTTCCTGTTTCCCTCGTTGTATCAAAAACAGGACTGCTAAACCCATCAGTGAGTCCTTAACGAATGGGGTGAATGGAGCTAAAAGGCTAAAAACAAAGAGTTAAAATAGTCTCTTATCTCTCAGAGCTTTCCTTTGATCTTAGACAGCAGAACAATTAAACTCACTAAAACAGCAAAGAAAACTCACCTGAATGATTCCTTTACTACAGCAAACAGACACCAACATCACTGATACTGAGCGCTGATTGGTTAGCGTTACTGATACTGAGGGCTGATTGGTTAACATCACTGATACTGAGTGCTGATTGGTTGGCGTTACTGATACTGAGCGCTGATTGGTTAGCGTTACAGCTACTGAGCGCTGATTGGTTAGCTTTACTGATACTGAGCGCTGATTGGTTAGCGTTACTGCTACTGAGCGCTGATTGGTTAGCTTTACTGATACTGAGCGCTGATTGGTTAGCTTTACTGCTACTGAGCGCTGATTGGTTAGCGTTACTGATACTGAGTGCTGATTGGTTAGCATTACTGCTATTGAGCGCTGATTGGTTAGCATTACTGCTACTGAGCGCTGATTGGTTAACATCACTGCTGCTGAGCGCTGATTGGTTAGCATTACTGCTACTGAGTGATTTCTTGATTCCTTGATTCCATTACTGCTACTGAGTGATTCCTTGAGTTAGCATTACTGCTACTGGGTGCTGATTGGTTAGCATTACTGCTACTGAGTGCTGATAGGTTAGCATTACTGCTACTGAGTGCTGATTGGTTAACATTACTGCTACTTAGCGCTGATTGGTTAGCATTACTGCTACTGAGTGCTGATTGATTAGCATTACTGCTACTGAGTGCTGATTGGTTAGCATTACTGCTACTGGGCGCTGATTGGTTAGCATTACTGCTACTGAGTGCTGATTGATTAGCATTACTGCTAATGAGAGCTGATTGATTAGCATTACTGCTACCATGTGCTGATTGGTTGGTGAGCAGAGCAGCTCACTGGCTGTTCGCACTCACTGACATCATGAATGTGCATGAGGCGCCGTTTTAAACTCCTATAACTCGAGTTTAAAAGCTCTTAAAAAATAAACACCAGTCTTAAAGTGTTTTATAGTATTCAGTGTTCAGGAAATGAATGTATTATTTAATATTAAAAATGTTTAAGCATTTATAATCTATGATTTTGCTCAAATGCTCCATATTAACACATTCATTTTGAACTCATTCAGCAGCGCCCTCTAGCGTCTGAGAACAGTACAGAGCGATAACTCTGCCCTAACCTAACTGGAGGACTCTCTCTTTTCGGTGCAGCTATCCAACGGCGAAGAACCGGTTGCTGCTTAAGAGGCGAAAGAAATACATAAAATCTATAAAATTCATTGCTGCATCCAGGACCAATACAGAACTGACCCCCTGCATCGATATTTTTGGCGGGTTCGGCTTTTCTTATTTTCTATTGAGTTCGCTAATGTAAGCTAATCGTTAGCTAATGTAAACTGTAGGTTTTCCAAGACAACCAACCTGATGACCTCACACTGCACACTACGACAAGACGGCTTGAGTTTGAATATAAAGATGTTTAAAGTGGGAATCGTCTGTAAATTGTTCCAATTACAATCTAGTGTTTCATCTCCCTTTAAAGTCAGTATCGGAGGCTAAATGTTCACATCAGTCAGGCTCTAGATAACAGTGTTCACTGTGATTGTGACTGAGAACCACAGTGATTTAGTATGAAGAAATATTTCAGTACTTTTCCATAAGCGTGAAGTTTCAGACAGTGTGTGAATCCCCCTGGTGTCCGGGGGTCCCATGTCTGTCTGCTGACTCTCTCTCCATAGCGGCGCTGATGCTTCAATGTCAGTAAATGTTTGTTTTATCAGCTGTTCTTCTGTAGAGTCTCTGTTCTAGTGCGGTTCTGCGCTCTTCCTCACAGTAACTGAGATCTTCCTCGTCTCCTCTTCTGTAGAGTCTCTGTTCTAGTGCGGTTCTGCGCTCTTCCTCACAGTAACTGAGATCTTCCTCGTCTCCTCTTCTGTCTTCAGTGTGAGAAATGAGGAACAGTCACTCTTCACTCCAAACTCTTGGGAAACTGGGCGAGTTTTCAGATTTACAGATCTGCTGCAGCTCATTGTAAAGTTTTTCAGAGGAATCCGGGCAGAGTTACAGTTTCTAGGCTATGAAGGACCAACTGGGTGAACCAGTCTGCTACAGTGCCACCCTGAGGCAGAGCAGTGCTGCAGCTCTAGTTAGTTAAGATCACCAGAGACAGAAGCTGATTGTGGGAGAAACAGATAAACAATCAGCTTCACTGAATCTGGATTTGAGCCCCTGTTTAAACAGACAGCATAACGTCATAAGCTTTTTTTCAGGGACCTCCAGAATTTTTAATTTGAGACATTCAGGGGGTCCGAGAGGTTAATTAGGGAATCCCAGGCCCCCCCAGGACCCCCTGTATTTCGCACCTTGGTTTGATTTATTTGTGATACCACAACCTTACATGGAGGCATTAACTGCAGGTTTCCAGTAGGGGGCACTCAGGATTTGTCATTTTCAAACAAAAGTCAGGTTTAACCCTTAAAATCTCAGTCTCATTACTCACTGAGGCTGATTATTCAGCAACTACAGGAGCTTCAGTGCAAACTGGCTGAGCTGTTCTCAGGTTAGAGAAGTGTATTTAAACTTTAAAAGGTCCAGACCTTTTAATGTAAACTCAACAAAATGTCCGAAAACATCTGAACAGCACTTTAGAAAACTAAGAACAACAGGTTAAAAAAAAACAACCAAAGGGGCATTTCATACAGGAATAACTGGAGTAAGTAGTTTTCATATATTCACGTGTTTCTATGATATGTGTATGTTTCCACATTGGACACATCAACTGATTGATTTCATTGTTTTCACATTTTTGCCCCCATTTCCTCCAGCTGGTGCTCCAGGCTGCCAGTAGGGGGCGCTACAGGATTCATCATTATCAAACAAAACTCACAGTTAGCCCGAATTACGCTTATCTCTAAAAATACCTGGAGTGATTAAAACAGTCTGCTTTGAGTTTTCGGCTCTGCTTCAGGCACAAAGCAATTAAAGCGATAGTTTAGAGAAAAATCTAATCCCAAGTCCACTGCAGTCCTACTTACGACTTGATTTGTGTTCAAGTGGTTTTGGTTGGATAATAAGACAGAAACACTGGAAATACTGGAAACACTGGAAAAACACTGGAATGTTTTTAGTTTACTTTTGTTTTACTGTCTGTGTGTGTTTTGCGTTACTGTAACAGACTGAAGAGCAGAGGATGTTTTCACAGTCAGACGTCTCACATATGCTTATATCTGTATTTATATCTGATGGTTTCAGCCTTCACTGTTAATGTTGTAGCTGATCAATAACTGAAATACAGTCAGTTTATCAGCGGCTATCATTGGTTTTTTTGCTTTCATTACATGTTAGCTACATTAGCCTCGTAGCTTCAGAGCTAACTGGAGATGTATATGCTTTCATTACATGTTAGCTACATTAGCCTCGTAGCTTCAGAGATAACCAGAGCTAACCGTGTTAGCTACATTAGCCTCGTAGCTTCAGAGCTAACTGGAGATGTATATGCTTTCATTACATGTTAGCTACATTAGCCTCGTAGCTTCAGAGATAACCAGAGCTAACCGTGTTAGCTACATTAGCCTCGTAGCTTCAGAGCTAACTGGAGATGTATATGCTTTCATTACATGTTAGCTACATTAGCCTCGTAGCTTCAGAGCTAACTGGAGATGTATATGCTTTCATTACATGTTAGCTACATTAGCCTCGTAGCTTCAGAGCTAACTGGCGATGTATACACTGTTATTACTTGGTAGCTACATTAGCCTCATAGCTTCAGAGCTAACTGGAGATGTATACGCTGTTATTACTTGGTAGCTACATTAGCCTCGTAGCTTCAGAGCTAACTGGAGATGTATATGCTTTCATTACATGTTAGCTACATTAGCCTCGTAGCTTCAGAGCTAACTGGAGATGTATATGCTTTTATTACGTGTTAGCTACATTAGCCTCGTAGCTTCAGAGCTAACCGGCGATGTATATGCTTTCATTACTTGGTAGCTACATTAGCCTCGTAGCTTCAGAGCTAACCGGCGATGTATACGCTTTCATTACGTGTTAGTTACGTTAGCCTCGTAGCTTCAGAGCTAACTGGCGATGTATACGCTTTTGTGTTAGCTACGTTAGCCTCGTAGCTTCAGAGCTAACTGGCGATGTATACGCTTTCATTACGTGTTAGCTATGTTAGCCTCGTAGCTCTAGCGCTAAAACCAAAGACGAAAACCTCAGACTCTGAAGATGTTTTGACTGATTGACTTCATTTTGAGAATCTGGGGGATTTAGATTTTGCACTGAACTTTTGCTTAACCCTCTACTGTATGTGCTGTGAAAGCAATTTAAAAAAATTATTTGATTCACTTTTCTTGCATAAAATGTACCTAATTATTTAATATATTTAATATCAAAACATTTTGTGTGTAAAGTGTGTAGGGGTCATTTCGGGATATGTTGCCTTGAGGCAACATTGTGTGACAATGCGAATAAATGAAATAGAGCCGTGTTTCCTGAAGTGGCTTGTGGCTGGTCAAATCATTCCACTGTTGCACAGTGTTGCTTCTAGGCAATAAACATATTTCCGCAAATTTTCATAAAAAAAATTATACTGAATGTTAAAAAAGGTTTAAAAGTGGCCACTAAGAGATAGTATGACCAAGAACATGCTTTTTATTTACATACTCAATCTGTTCCCTATATCGTTAACCCTTTCGTTGTCTTTAAATATGGATAATGTTATTGTAAAGTAAGGAAAATGAGTTTGTTGCCCTGAGGCAACACTGTGCAATAGAGGGTTAATATGAACTGATTTCTTCATCAGGCTCTTCAAACACTGAAGTGATCTTACATTAAACTTTATTCCACATCTTTAACCCTTCTTTCTTCCTGGTGGTCCAGATGAAGCCCACCTGACTCTACTGCTGGTGTTTGAGTGGAGCTTCAACACAGTCTTTGTCTGGCCGTCCACTGAGTCCAGGAGTCAGAAACATTCAGCAGGACGTCAGCTCACCCTGAACACGTTAACCCATTAATGACCAACAGAGCCTCACTGCACGTTTCTCACTGTTTACTTCACTTACAAACTCCAGCTGCTGCTCTGACTGAGTGTCTACATTAATAAACAGTAACGTTAAAGATGTTTCGTCTTCTGCTGTAAACTCACCGTTTCAGAGAAGCAAGATTTGGTAATGACAGCGATGATGTCTGAGATATACAGTTGGGTTTGTACGCTTTCTGAGCTCTGAGCACAAATCTGAATAAAAATAAAAAACTGATCAAACTGCACGTCTACAAAACTAAATTTGCCGTGACAATGGAAACAGAGCGTGTTCTGATTGGTCTAAAGTTGAAATACTGAACAGTTACAGCTGCTATAAAAATTATTAAATTATTATAAAAGTTTCTAATTTCTAAAATTTCATACTTTTTCTAATTTCTCATTTTCATACTTTTTGTTCAAATTTAGATTTTCTATTGTTTTATTAAAAATAAGTAGTCCAAGAATGCTTTTAATGATAAATGTATATAAGATCAAGATCTTTTCAGATTCGTATGCAGAGAACAGCTGAGCTAAGAAATAACCTTCTTCACGACGTTCTCAGAATCACTTTACATGTGAAAAGGACGCTATTTTGTGCAGTTCTACAGAGAACGACGTTTTCTATGACAGGTCAGTGTGGACTGGTCAGCGTTGAGCTCTTATGCTGCCCAAAGCTGGAATCATTTCTCCATCTTTACATCCAGACTGAACACTTCATACCTTTGACACCTAAACATGTTCTGTCTAGACTTAATAATATGGAGCTGGTCCTTCTTTGCCTTCCGCCCAATGACTGGGATAGGCTCCAGCACCCCACCGCGACCCAGAAGGATAAGCAGTTTAGATGATGGATGGATGGATGGATGGTCCTTCTTTGCAGCTATAACAGCTTCTACTCTGCCTTCACTGGAACTAAGGGTTCTAGACCAACCCCTGAAAAACAGCCCCATAGCATCATCCCTCCTCCACCAAACTGCACAGTGCAGTCAGGCAGGTAACGTTCTCCTGGAACTCGCCAAACCCAGACTCGTCCATCAGACTGACAGATAGAGAAGCTGATTCATCACTACACAGAATACGTGCAACAGAGTCCAGTGGCGGCGCTTGACACCACTCCAGCCGACACTTGCCATTGCGCATAGTGATCTTAGGCCTGTGTGCAGCTGCTCAGCCATGGAAACCCATTTTGTGAAGCTTCTAATATGCAGTTCTTGTGCTGATGTTGTTTCCAGAGGCAGTCTGGAGCTCTGTAGTGATGATTCCACAGAGGATAGACACTGTGCTCTTCAGCACTCAGCGGCCCACTCTGAGAGTGTTGGTCTACCACTTCGTGGCTGTTGTTGCTCCAATTCACAGTAACCGCACTTACAGTTGTCTGGGGCAGATCTAGCAGGACAGAAATTTCAGAAACTGACTTGTGGCAGAGGCGGCATCCTACAACAGAGCCATGTTTAAAGTCACTGAGCTCTTCAGTACGACCCTCTACTGCCAGCGTTTCAAGACTGCAAGGCTATGAGCTTAATTTTATACCCCTGTTAGTAATGAAACACCTGAACTCAGTAATTAGGAGGTGTGTCCCAACACTTTTGTCTGTATGGTGTACATGCAAAGGATTCTTTGAGTGTTCAGGCTTCTATACAGAACCACAGTCTTTACTAAAGAACCCTTAGCAGAACCATTTTTTAGAGTGTAGTTCACACTGTGTATGTGCTCCTGGTGAGGGAACCTCTCTCTCCTCTCTCGCTGTTACAGGGATAGAACACGAGAACGCTGCTGTAAGAAACATGCATATTTATTTCTGCAGTCAGAACACATTAAATAAAAACTAGAACCGTACTTCACTTATACAAAAGATAGATTATGTCCCATTTAAAGTAACAATAATTTACTGTATAAATTAAAATCTCACTATTTTATTTACAATTTAATGAAAACATCTTTCTCCTGTTTCCTTTATTTTGTCCCTGAAAGTGCCCTCATCTGAATCTGGGGGGGTTCTACACTGACGGTTCTCAGAGAACAGTCAGACATACGGTGATGTACAGTGATGATGTATGGTAATATATGCATGATAATATATGTATGGTTATGTACAGTGATGTATGGTGATGTATGTTTGTTGATGTTTGGTGATACATGTATCGTGATGTATGTATGGTGATGTATGGTGATATTCGGTGGTATATGTATGGTGATATATGTATAGTTATGTACAGTGATGTTTGGTGATGTATGTTTGTTGACGTTTGGTGATGTATGTATGGTGATGTATGTATGGTGATGTATGTATGGTGATGTATGGTGATATTCGGTGATATATGTATGGTGATATATGTATGGTTATGAACAGTGATGTTTGGTTATGTATGGTGATGTATGTTTGTTGACGTTTGGTGATGTATGTATGGTGATGTATGTATGGTGATATTTGGTGATGTAGATGTGTGTGTAGTGTTCTGTGGTGTTAGTGCTCTGCAGTGTTCTGCGGTTCTCTGTTTGTTCTCTGCTGGTTCTGATCGGATGTGATTGTGTATAATGAGCTGTGATTATCTCAGACTGCACATTCACTTCAGACAGGAAGAAGCAGAGCATTACTGGAAGACCCAGCGTGACAGGGGGGTTTGGGGTGGGGGGTTGGGCAGGGGTCAGCGTACAGAACGGACTTTCCATCGTTCTGCAGCTGGTCATCTCAGACCTCCTCTCTGATTACACACCACACATAAAATACATCATTTACAGTTACAGAAATGATAAAAACAAGCAACAGAATAATGTGGCAAGAGCTCAAGAGTAAGCTTGCATTATTACTATTATTATTATTATTATTGTTATTTTTATTATTATTATTATTATTATTTCAGGGATTTGGGGGTTTTATTTTTACAGAACTGAGTCAAAACAAACCTGTTTGAAATGAGTAAAACAGTCACAACTGAGTATAAATTGTAATAAAATTGTACTAAATATTAAAACAAAAAAAAACGTAATTAAAACAAATGTGGTCTTGAATAACTATTGCTGAATTGTTTCCATTCATAATAATAATAATGATAATAATAATAATAATAATAATTCAGTGAAAGAGTTTTTGTTCTTTTTTCGTTACTATTGTATCAAGTTTCCATTATTATTACACGTAATAATTATTATTTCTTATTATTATTGTTATTTTTATTTTCAATACACAAAATGCTGCACACCTTAAAACAATAGATGAGGTCAGTCCAAAACACTAATGTTGCTAATACTGAGTGAAAGGGAATAGCCACGATTAGCATTATTTAAATGACATCAATTGCCGGTGAGCAGCTTCTTCTCGTTGTTAGCTTCTTAGCACGTTTGGTTGAGCTTCTCCTTTAAGTTCAGAGATGAGTTTGTGTTTTTTCCTGATTATAAGCTTTTATTATAATTAATGCTGCTCTTTTTAAATGACTGTTAACTTCCTTTAACATGTTTAACATGTAAGAGCTTCATAACTCTGAACTGTGGACGCGTTCAGCTCGTTTCAGTTTAAGTGCTCTGAGATATTCACAGTTTTCACTGCATTTCTGGGAGAAATGGTGGATGTTTTTGGATAAGTTACAGTTCAGGATGATTAAAAACTCATCACTGTATTATGGGATGGAATAAGAGAATAGGGTACGTGCAGAACTGCGCCCTCTCCTGGCTGTGTTCAAAACTCCATTTCCCCATTGGGAAAAAAAAATTATTTAAATTTTAATAACAAATTAAAATTCACTTTCAGGTGGATTTCAGCAATGAAAACAATATAACGTCGTATAAAATATTCATGCAGAGCTGAAAAACCGTGTGAGAGTAAAATATAATTGAACTACAGGACCCACAGCTCGGTGACGGCACTGCTTTGTGGGACGAGTGACAGTGACATCATAATGAGTTTGTCGTCTGTTTCGCAGAAACACTCGTAAACATTGTATTTCTGTCTTTTACACTGTTGGATCACTGATACAGTGTCACACATAACTGAAGGGGGGTGCGAAACGGCACTTTATGGATCTGCAGCACCTAAAACTCATTATTAACCTATGTTCTGAACATAACCAGCAGGGGGCGCTCTGACCACTCTCCTCCTCTACTGACCTCTCTGCTGGATGTAAATCTGATCTGATTGGCCAGTTACTCACTGGACTGACCTGACGAACTGCAGCTCACACAACACAGAACATATCAGAACCCTAAAGAGGTTCCTTCACTGTTCTTTATAGAGAACCCTCAGTTCTGGCTGCTGGCAGTGAATTTAAAGCGACAGTTTAGCACGAAACCAGATTCCCTCACTTCCCCCTTTTCCTAATGCAGTCAGTCAGTCAGGCGTGTTTGGAGGTTGATGTAGCTGAAGGCCAGTTTACACTGAACGCCTCCTGAAGCTGCTCCACATCTGCATGTTCTGTGTGCAACAGTGACTCCAGAGATCCAGCCGAACCACACAAACCCTTCCTGCAGCACTGAGCTGTGTTTAAAACAGACACTCACTAAAACATCACGATTAGAGATGCACAGTCACATCAGAATCACGTCGATATCAGCAGAAAACTGCATAAAAACGACCTGCGTCAGGTTTAGATGTTTAGATTTGGCCGATATTTCACACATAATGTCTGCATTTCGTTCTGAAAGTGAATATAAATCTCAGTGCACTAAAATAGTTTTTAGCCTCCACAGCTAAAACTAAACTTTGTTTAGCTCAGCTGATAAAACTAAAACGAATATCGTTTAGCTCTGGTGCCAAAACCAAAACTAGCATGATTTAGCTCTGGTGCTAAAACTAAATAAGTAAACGTCAGACTGTAAATGCGTCTTGGCTGAAGGACTATATTGGGAGTAAAAGGGGAAAACGAGGATCTGGTTTGGGGGGATTAAACGGGGGGAGGGTGTGTTTTGTTGCTGAAGTATCGCTTTAACCCATGAAGAGCCGCAGTGAACCTGCACTGAATCTGAGGAAGTGCTTTGGAATCGGAGCGCTGTGTGTGGAACAGGAGGAGGAGAAAGAGCGGATTGTTTTGGAAGAATTTCTCGCTGTGGTGATGAAGTGGAAGCGCTTTTCATCAGGAACGTTGCTCAACACATTTCAGTGGCTCTCTCTGCGGAACCGACCGGAACAGCAGACTCAGAGCTGATTTTAGCACAAAAAAAATCCCCGACCTCATTTCTAAACACTACGCTAACCAAGATTAAAGACGTTACGGACACAGTGACAGATCCACAGGGTAAAAAACGAAAAATAAAAGAGAAAAATAAAGACTTTCCACCCCTTAAGGCACTTACAGACACACACAGGAAGAGGAAGACAAACACAGATCAAAACCCAACAGATAAAAAAGAAACAAACGAGTGAAAAACGTTTTAAAGAGGTTCCTGAAAGAATCCAGTTTGTCTTTGTTTCTGAGCCGCAGCAGTGACAGATTTCCCTCCACAGACCGTCTGGGCTTCTGTTTGTTTCTTCGTTTGTTTGTTGTTGTTATTGTTTGCTGTTTTGTGGTCGTTCGCTCTGAGATCAGGATCTGTTATTCTCCCACACGTTCTCCACCGTTCTGCTCGCTGACCTACATAAGGGACAGCAAAACAGCTCTGAAACTGAGCTGCGCTTCTGTCCCAGTGAGTCTGACCGCATCCGTGTTACTGTGGTTACGGGTTTCGGGGCGTTTGTTCCACAGTCGGACCCTCAATCGAACACAGATTCTTATCCGAGCTTTTTGCTCCAAAAAACAGCAGAAAAACCCCGAAAACACCAAAGACTTCTATTTTGTCTTTTTAGGTCCACAACTGAGAAAAGCGGCAGCTGTTTTATGTTTTCTCTGCTGCTCAGTGACTTTCGTTGGTCTTTTTGTGTCCACAGCTGAGAAAAGCCTTGGTGTCCAGTCATCTTCAGGCAGTATTTATTGACGGGTCAGTGATGCTTCCTCATTGTCCACTGCCGGCCACACCTCTAACACGCCTCCACCAATCAGATTCCCTTTGGAATCGCCGCCATCAAATCGTACGTCTGGCCGAGACGCAAACCGACAGTAATTTCAGTGACCAAACGCATCCAACTTTTGATGTCCAGTTCCTCAGCCAGCGCTCAAGCGCTTTGGTTTTAGATGACCACACCAGTCAGTAAGGGGTCCGTCGGACCCCCATGAGGGGTCAGTGTTCCACACAGCCTGTGAGTGAGAGTATGTAAGTATCTGTGAGTGATCTGCAAAGGCCTCCAGCAGCTCCCAGCAGAGCGGTGGTCAGTTCCCCACCAGCAGAGCGGTGGTCAGTTCCCCACCAGCAGAGCGGTGGTTAGTTCCCCACTAGCGGGCTGAGGTCCCCGTGGTGGTTCTTCAGCTTCTTCTTGAAGAGGGAGATGGTGGAGGGTCTGTACAGGATGATCCAGGGCTCAGAAGAAGCACTCTGAGCGCACGACTCCGACCCGCTGATGGAGGGGATGGTGGGAGATCTGAGGGAGAAGAGACGAACGAGAGATCAGAATCTGCATGTTTTTCAATACAGCAAAAAAAGGAGTTCCTGAAAATCTGTTAATATGATGTCGTTTCCATTTTCAGCTCACTGGAACATTTAACAACATAAAATTATGATGTTTCAGACATTAGAACATCAGAACAGAACAGAGCGGTTCAGCCTGACCCATTCTCAGCTCCTGGCTAGCTACAATCTAATATGTTAGCCCCAAGCTAATAAACAAGCTATAAGCTAATATATTAGCCCCAAGCTAATGCAGTAACCACATGTTAATATGGTGGCATGATGCCATGAGGCGCTTAGGAGGTGTGGCCATGCAAAGTGGCTCTCGGGTCGGGGGGATGGCGGGGGGGTCTCTTTCCTTCTCATACAAAGCCCCCCAACTTTGGAATAATCTTCTAGTCAGTGTTCGGGACTCAGACTCAGCCTCAGTGTTTAAGTCTAGGCTAAAACCCCACTTGTTTAGTGGAGCCTTTGGTAATTAGTTTTCCCTGTTAGATAAAAGGTGCAGATCTGGGGTTCATGGTCACAGAGTATTATGGTAAACTGGGAGTGTTGGTGCTGTCGTCCTGCTGCTCACGCGTTCACTCAAGTGTGCTGACGGTGGAGTGGAGGGGCTCCGACACCTCAGGGAGCCTCATGACTCTTTCTGGTTTCTCCCTCTTAGTGAGGCTGTAATATCTAGACCTGCTGGAGTCTCTGCTGCTCTGTTAACCCTGTAATCTGTGGTCAGTCTCTCTGTACAGAACTGACCCTCTGTGTGTTTCCTCTCTGTGCTGAGTTGAACAGCTGCCCATCCTGTGTGTCTGATGCTGTTGCTTCTTCTGCCTTGATCTGGCCACTGCTCGCCAGCCCTCTGGACCGGCTTGACCACCATTGAGATTCTCGCTGTACATAGCTGTGCAAACCTCACCCTCATGAACTGACCCTCCTGACGCTGCTGCATAAACTAAACCTAATCTAATAACCCGTTGCTCCACCTGTTTTTCCCGTTTTGTGTTCTAATACTTTATACTAACGCTGTTTGCTATCCGGTGTGGTCCAGAGGAGGATGGGTTCCCCTTCTGCGTCTTGGTTCCTCTCAGTGTTTCTTCCTCTTTGCTCTTAGGGAGTTTTACCTCGCCACTGTCGCCATTGGCGACGCTCATGGGGTCTCGGACCTGGATTTTTCTGTAAAGCTGCTTTGTGACAACAACTGTTACAGAAAGCGCTACATAAATAAACTTTGCTTGCTAAACACTCCCAGTTTGGAGAGGCACTGTTAGCGCTGCTGTTGTTGCTGATGCTGATGGTGCTGTCAGTGCAGCTGTGTTGCTTGGTGTAAACTGTGTTCTGAGGAGGGGGGCTTTGCGGTTAAATAGTGGTTAGATTAGAAAAGTATCTGCCCCCCCATGCCGTGTCCTCCTGCGTTAGCCCCTCCCTGCATTAGCGCTGTTATTTCTTGCTGCAGTGTGCTTCACATCTTCTACACTGATGCTACATATTAGCCCCTTGCCAACACACAAGCTACATGTTAATATGTTAGCCCCAAGCTAATGAACAACAACTTTATTTGTTAGCAATGACAAATTTAACACTGCCACTCCAGATGCTTCAGTATCGCTTCGAGTGTAGTTAAAAACTCAAAGGCCTCTTTCCTGCTGTTGAGCCAAACAGTTCTCAGGGTTCTCAGGACCCTTTTTCCATCTGTTCTGCTGCTAAATCAGAAATACAAAACACAGAAGAAGACTACAACAACAAGTGGCTAACTGCTAACAGGCTATCAGCCATGCACACACCACCCACCACGAAACACGTCACTCCAGTTGTCACTCCGACTCCAGTCTCTCTCTCTGTGCTCTCAGATTCTTCGTCCTCCAAACGGGAGTTATTTGATCATCAGTTACTAAATCTGAGTCTGTACTGCGGTGAGTTTCACCTACAGCCGGATAACTACACTAGCATTACCATCACCCAGCAGGGTTCAGCTAAAAGCACCACAGAACAGCGTCGATTTTGGCTTTCTGTCACTCCAACGCCGATCAGTCCACTTCGCTCTCGCTGTTATGAGTGTTTATCGTCTACACTCGTGCTATCAGAGCAGTCAGTCCAATAGAACCTGCACTGGGCTGTTTGGATCTCTTCAGCTAAGCTAGGTAAACCAGGAGAGAAGAGCCGGCTAGCATTAGCTTAGCTAGGAGGACTGCAGCTCCAGACGCCAGAGAACAGGGTTAATTTCGGCTTTCTGTCCCTCCAGCACCAACCGCTCGACTTCACTTCCTCAGATTTGAGTCATTATCTTCTAAACTGAGTCAGTAAAGCTCCTGTTAGTCAGAATCGAACCTGATCTGTGGTTTCCTGTTCGCCAGCTTCTTGTTCGAATTTTCCCGTTCCACCTTAAATGGTGCATCAGTCACTTTCAAACAATACATCACACAGACATGAGTGTGAATCACTGCGTTCCCTCCGTTATATAATCCTGTCCCTCTTTCTGAGAGTGATATTCCTGAAACAGTGTAAATTTGGACAGTATCTTTCTTAAACTGCCACTCTGTAATGGTACTGAATGCAGTCCAGCAGCGATGTTGACCTCCCCAAAATGGCGGCGCCGTTGACGTGCCTGGCTGGACCCAACGCGACATCTAGGTATGTATATCTATGATCCCACCAAACGGTTCCGTGGCTCTGAGTACGGTTAGCTAACTGTGCTGGAAAAACGGGCTGAGCCCAGTTTTTAAGCGTTACATATCGGACCGTGTCTGTGTGGAATAGCCACTGAAATGGTTTCTTTCTGTGCTCAGAACGATTCGGCCCTGCAGCGGAAAAGAGGCCAGACTCCAATAGTAAAACCAGGAGGAAAGAAAGAAGAAAGAAAAAAAAGAAAGGACATTAATAAATAAATAAATAAATAAATAAATGAGGGGGTGTGGGGGGGGATGGGTTTCATCTGCTTTTCATGGAGTTCATCTGCTTTTCATGTCGGCTGGAATTTGCCTTGTAAAATCTGAGCGACATGCAAAACGTCCATTAACCATAAAACAACAACAATAAATCTGACATCAGCTCAGAGAGGCAGCAGATCAGAGCGTCTCTACAGGAAACTGTTCATAGATCTGAAACTACTGACCACATTCACCACAACACACACTGCCCAGCACACGCTCAGGGACACCTCACCAACTTTCACAATTTTCAGAGTCACTGATACTCAGATCAATGTCAAACTGAGGACAATATGATTTAGACAGTTATGAACTAGTTTTTTATAGCTTAATGCAATATTTAAAGTATTTTCGGAACAACAAGGAATGATCAATTGATGTAATAATCTTTCTACAATCGTTTATCTGCCTTGAGATTCGATCTCCACTTTTAAAATATGATGAATTCTGGGTGTTAATTTTATTAGAACTTCATTCCGGATGTTGTCTCAGTCGCGTTAGAACCTTCTACAGCTCTGTTCTTCATTCTGGACTAATTTCTACAGTTTTATTTACAGCACTGCACTGATGATCACAGTCATTTATCTCCAGACTGTTCAACATCATTATATAAAACACTGAGCTTTTCTACAGTATGTTTAATTTAAAACAGGTCAAACTGAATTTAGTAATAATTATAATAATTGTAATTATAATAATTTAAACAGGTGAAACAGAATGAACTCATCTCTGTTTTCTGTTTTTATTATATGCACAGTTCTGGGTTTGTAAAAGTACAAAAATAACAGTGCAGTTTAGCCTCTCTTAGCTCGTAGCTTGTGCGTTAGCTTGTTTCTAACATATTAACGTAGTTAGTGCGTTAGCTTGGGGCTAACATTTTATGTAGTCAGTGTGTTAGCTTGGGGCTAACATTTTAGCTTGTGGTTAGCATATTAATGTAGTCAGTGCGTTAGCTTGGGGCTAACAGCTTGTGGTTAATGCGTTAGCATGGGGCTAACATTTTAGGTTGTGGTTAGTGCGTTAGCTTGGGGCTAACATTAATGAAGTCAGTGCATTAGCTTGGGGCTAACATATTAATGAAGTCAGTGCGTTAGCTTGGGGCTAACATATTAACGAAGTCAGTGCGTTAGCTTGGGGCTAACATATTAATGAAGTCAGTGCGTTAGCTTGGGGCTAACATATTAATGAAGTCAGTGCGTTAGCTTGGGGCTAACATTAATGAAGTCAGTGCATTAGCTTGTGGTTAGCATATTAATGAAGTCAGTGCATTAGCTTGGGGCTAACATATTAATGAAGTCAGTGCGTTAGCTTGGGGCTAACATATTAATGAAGTCAGTGTGTTAGCTTGGGGCTAACATATTAATGAAGTCAGTGCGTTAGCTTGGGGCTAACATATTAATGAAGTCAGTGTGTTAGCTTGGGGCTAACATATTAATGAAGTCAGTGCGTTAGCTTGGGGCTAACATATTAATGAAGTCAGTGCGTTAGCTTGGGGCTAACATATTAATGAAGTCAGTGCGTTAGCTTGGGGCTAACATATTAACACAGTGATTTTACTAAACACCATTTAAACGTTTGAGTACTGGTGCAGTGCTTGTGCATTTGTATACTTACTTTACTGTGACGTGCAGAAGCAGTTTGGCCACCATGGCTAAGACAGTTAGCGTTAGCAGAGCGGCGAGAGCGTAGATGGTCCACACTGTAAAACACAGACAGAACAAATCAGCCCTCTTCGTCTCGCTGAGGCTGGAGAACTTCTACAGCTTCAATTAATCAAACTTAACCAACCAATCAAACTGTCAGCGTCAAACCGGCCTCATCACATTTATATAAAGATCTTATCTGACAGGAGCCGATTAGCGCAGAGAAAAATGATCGATGAGTCACACAAAACGATTAAGACTGAAAAGAAAAGAGAAATTATATAAAAGGATAAAACGGCAAAAAGACTGAACACTCGTCACAATGAGTGCCTCATTACAGTTCACTGCTGTCTGTCTGAGTGACTTCAACAAGAATTCACCCCTCCTGAAACTAAACTCTGCAAAGTTCTGTATATGAACTATATATATATATATATATATATATAAGCATCAAACTGTGACTATTAGAGCGAGGTCTTCAGTTCAGGGGCCGTATTACAGAAACTTCCTCTCTTTTTGTCTTAACTTAAGATCTTTTAGGTCAAGGTAAGATTTTTCACACATTCATATTACAGAAGCAAATCTGATCTTAATTTAGGAATCTTATCTTATCTTACAGCATCTTATCTCCAGTTAGGAAATCTTAACCTACTCGATCAAAGTCGACAATCAGCTGTCGTGTCTGTTTCCGAGCAACCGACCATAAACACACAGCTGAAATGTAAACACGTCATCAGAATAACGTTAAAATGTGAGTTAAGCTGCTGTTACTGATGTAAAGAAGGTCAAACAGAACTGAAGTGTGATAAACTGTAAGCTGTGAATACAGTGAGAGCGCCCCCTGCTGTTTATCAGAGCGTCGCCACTCCCCAGTTTCAGTCTCCATTTCCCAAACGCTTTAGCCGAGCGCGCTAACGTTACTCCTCCTAATAAACAGACACACGTTCAGCTCCGTCTCCTCATTATTCACCACCATCACTGTAATATTTCATCATCAACATTAACACACGAAGGTAATCAGAGGGGCGGTGGAGATCGAGTCTGCAGCGTCTGAGATCTTTAAAACGCAGAGTTAGAAAAGAAAATCATCTCACAGTGAAAGCAGCGTTTTACAGTAGAGATAAATGGAGTTCATTATGCTGGTAGTGAACTATGCTGCTGACTCAGCTGCCTAAAAACCATAGAAACGGACCTTAAACAGAAGTGAGGACCCTGTTGGGGTTCATCCTAAAGTTAGGACAGGATTTAGGAGGTTTAGTCTAGTTAGGATGTTTGTGTGATGCTGTTTTCTTATCTGGAGTTCATGATGAGATGAAGGTAGGAGCTGTTATTCTGGAATAGCTGCTGTTCGAAATTGGGTCCGTACTGAAGTCGTCATGGTGACCAAACACATAAGGTAAGATTTCAGACTTAAGTTGTTTCTGTAATAAAGCCTCAGGACATGAACTCCTCTACAGTAATGCTCATTTCTGCTAGCGGCCCATATGGAATTTTTAGTAGCATGTTAGCGGTTAGGCTAATGCTGGTGCAGGTGAACATTTTCTGCTGTTCTAGATTAAACACAGACATTTGAAGCTTATAAAAGTCATTTTTTATGTTTTATGTTAAGTTTGTATCAGACATTATCAGATATCTGAGCCTGTATGTATCAGTTTTGCAGTCACTCTTTCAGTAAAGAGTTCTGACATAGAGCTGCTGTCACTGTTTAACATTCCTAACAACGAACCGGAACACTGCTTAGACTATGGCTTATGTTCACATTCAGTGTTGTATCTAGAACCTTCAGAAGACCCCTTTCCCTCAAAATTGGTCCCAAAGAGTGATTGGTTGATTCCTCACTTCCTAATTATGCTGGTAGTTAATCTAACGTGTAAGGCCTTCAGTCCAGCTCCTGAAGTCCTGACCAATGGGAGAACAACTCAGCTGTATCTGCCTAGATACCAGAGAGAGAACAATCCTGATTGGACAATTTTCTGTTGGCCGATTCAAGATTAGCGCAGTTTAAATACAAAAGCATCATGATTCTATTAAATAAACATGAACAAACAATCATAGGCAGGTATTTGATTAACTTCACAGAAGTACTTAGACCCTCTGAAGGTCGAGAAGGTCCTGAAGGTTCCTCACTGTTAAATATACAGTTTATTTTCTATCTTGGTTAAAGGAGCTGAATTATGAATCATGAATCATAAATCAAATTATAAAACTGCTGTGTACAAAACAATTTTGAATCTTCTGGCTCTGGACTAATCAATAGATCAATAATCAAACAGACACTGACACCTGTCCTTCTTTATCTGCTGCTGAAGAAGCAGAAAGTCAAACTGGATCTGAAGATGAAATAATAATAATGACTGTAATTCCGTCCAGAGTCAGTAGAGGTCACTGTAATCAGCATCTACTATCACTGTTTCTTGGCCTGAGCTCAGAGAGCTTAAACACCAACATCTCACCTGTCAAATTAACAGAAACGACATCAAAATCATCTTTAATATTCAATATCATATCAATAATGCAGGAGAGGAAGTGCTACAGGGTGAGAGTTTGGCTTTGCTGCTGATCAGCGCCTGGGAGGAGTTTCAGTTTTACTGGGAGGGATTTCTCATTGTACTGGGAGGAGTTTTTGGTTGTACTGGGAGGAGTTTCAGTTTAATGGGAGGGATTTCTCATTGTACTGGGAGAAGTTTTTGGTTGTACTGGGAGGAGTTTCAGTTTTACTGGGAGGGATTTCTCATTGTACTGGGAGGAGTTTCTGGTTGTACTGGGAGGAGTTTAAGTTTTACTGGGAGGGATTTCTCATTGTACTGGGAGGAGTTTCTGGTTGTACTGGGAGTTGTTTCAGTTGTACTGGGAGGAGTTTTTGGTTGTACTGGGAGGGGATTCTGGTTGTACTGGGAGGGGTTTCGGGTTGTACTGGGAGTAGTTTTTGGTTATACTAGGAGAGGTTTCGGTTTCACTGGGAAGAGTTTCTGGTTGTACTGGGAGGAGTATCTGGTTGTACTGGGAGTAGTTTCTAGTTGTACTGGGAGGAGTTTCTGGTCGTACTGGGAGTAGTTTCTGGTTGTACTAGGAGGAGTTTCGGTTGTACTTGGAGGAGTTTCTGGTTGTGCTGGGAGGAGTTTCTGGTTGCACTGGGAGGAGTTTCCGTTGTACTGGGAGGAGTTTCAGTTGTACTGGGAGGAGTTTCTGGTTGTACTGGGAGGAGTTTCTGGTTGTAGGGTTTTTGTTAAACAAGTCGTTTTGTTGTGAAATTATGAATAAATGCTGTTTGTATTGAACTTATTTTGGAAAGTTTGGTGTCCACAAACGTTTGAAGATGAAACGGAGAATAAGAATCTACATACTGGTGCTGTGGCCCGGTGTCCGGCCGCGTCCGAGCCACTGACCTGGCATGTCGTTCTGCACTTTCCCGGGGCTGGACGTGATGACGAGGATCTGGGACGTCTTCTCGTTCTGGGTGCTGTTGGTTTTCTCCGTCGTGCTGCTGGACCACGGCTCCACAGTGCTGGCGGCTCCATCATCATCATCATCTTCATCTTCAGCAGCTCTGCTGTCCTGAACTCTGAAAGCTGGAGGGAAACAAGAAACGCTGTGGTGAAAACACAGAAACCGAGTGAAGGTCCATGCCTGCTGTCACACCACAGCCTCAAAACCCATAACGTTTACTTTATCTTTACGTCGGTTTACAGCGCCGCTCTGTACACGGAGAGAACAGCTCACCAGGACGGAGTAACAGAACCGACCCAGCATCACTGAGAATAACATCCTCCCTCCTGTAATGCTGCTTTCATTCCAGCCCTTCAGTCTCGCTGCGCTGGAGGTTTAGGATTAGTATTCATTTTTAATTTCACTCTTAATAATAAATCTGGGACGGGTCTGAGTGTCTCTACACTTCATCACAAACTTACAGTTCATCCGAAAATAAAATAATAATAATAATAAGAAGAAAAAATTCTTCCACCGAACACGAGTCGAACGTTCTTCTCTGAGCATCACAGACGGTTAAATAACCGCACTAATACAGAACTCAGTTAATGTGTGACACTGAAGAACATCAGATTTCAGAAGCAGAACTGTTCTAGAACATCTCTCTGCATGTCTGTCTCTCTCTCTCTCTCTCTCTCTCTCACACTCTTTCTCTGTCTCTCTCTCATTCTCCTTTCCTCTATCTCCCTCTCTCTCTCTCTCTCTCTCTCTCTCTCTCCCTCTCTCTCTCTCTCCCCCTCTCTCTCTCTCTCTCCCTCTCTGCTTTCTCTTTCCCTCTCTCTCCCTCTCTCTCTCTCTTTCTCTGTTTCTCTCATTCTCCTTTCCTCTATCTCCCTCTCTCTCTCTTTCTCTCTCTCTCTCTCTCTTTCTCTCTCTCTCTCTCTCTCTCTCACACTTTCTCTGTCTCTCTCATTCTCCTTTCCTCTATCTCCCTCTCTCTCTCTCTCACACTCTTTCTCTGTCTCTCTCTCATTCTCCTTTCCTCTATCTCCCTCTCTCTCTCTCACACACTCTTTCTCTGTCTCTCTCTCATTCTCCTTTCCTCTATCTCCCTCTCTCTCTCTCTCTCTCTCTCTCTCTCTGTTTATAATCTGAATGAGTTTCTCTTTTTGTAAAAATCCTCAGAGCAGAAAGTGAATAAATGTTTTCCTGGTTTAAAATAAATGTGCAGTTCTGTCCGCGGGGAGGTTGGGGGGGCAGGGGTAGTGGGGGGGGGTGGTTTGGGCTTCATTCGTTTGTAAAAATGACGAAAAGCAATTTATTTCTCTGACCTTTTCTTCAGGCGAAACATTTCCTCCTTTTCCTCTCTCTCTCTCTCTCTCTCTCTCTCTCTATGTCTCTCTCTCTCAGACAGACAGACAGTCTGAACAGACAGAGAGATGTACATACGAGCAACACGATTCCTCACTGCACCTGAATTTAACATTAAATTTACTGAGACTGCAGCTTATTGTGCAAAATGTGCATAGCCCCACCCACTAACTGTACATAGCCCCACCCACTAACTGCACAAAGTACTGCACACTAACTGATTATAGCTCAATCGTGAGGGGTGGGGTTTTAAAAGAAGCAGTGATATAATGGAACATCAATAAGCTGAAGACTAAACAGACAGTTGAAGCTATGAGCAGGTTAATAACTGAAGCTGCTACTTACAGAGGATACAGCTCAGCAGCTTTTAAAGAAGAAATATCGGTATCGGCCGATACTCAAGCTCTCAATATCGGTATCGGCAGATACTTAAGCTCTCGATATCGGTATCGTCCGATACTTAACCTCTCAATATCGGTATCGGCCGATGCTCAAGCTCTCACTATCGGTATCGGCCGATACTCAACGTTTCAATACAGATACTCGTGGTTTTGAAAACCCTGTGTAAAACGTGTTCTTTCTCATATGATCTTTTCAAATGTAAGGGTTCTTTGAGGGTTCTTCAGTAAAGGTAAAGATTATATTTAGAACCATGAGAAACAAACTCTCAGTTTCTGAGAGGTGTGGTCGTACTGAAGGTTCTATGGAGAACCTGTCATACATGGTTCTTTATAGAAGCTTTTAAAAATGGTTCGATATTGCGCCAGAAAGTGTTCTGTTACAAGCCAAAGAATCTTTTCTGGTATTATATAGAACCCTGTTAGAACCCAGTACTGAAGGTCATTCAGACTGAAAGCTAATGGATTAAATGGATTTTGTTTAATCAATATGAATATAATAATAATAATAATAATGAATCAGTTGCATTTTCACTGTTCATGGATCTTCCCTCTGAGCTGGTGATGCTGTGACTCAGAGTCGCCTCATGCATATGCTAAACAAAAGCAGATTAAATATTGATAAAGTGCCACTTTTCCAATAACTGCGTGCCAGAAAGTTCCCGAAATGGCCGAGGGGGAAATTTAAATATTTAATGTCCTTGAGTGCAGGTGCAGAACGAGGAGCAGATGAGCTTCTCCGGAACGCTGCTCTTCAGAAATCAGCAGACGTCTCGCTTCTCAGAATGACTCAATACAGATGAGAGGTTTCCTTTGATGACCGTATTAAACCTGATCAGGGTTATTAGAGGAAAATCAATATGACGTGTAAATATGTGCTTTTATCAATCGATTGGAAAAGAAAACTTTACACAAAACCTGGGCCCCACGAAGTGTAGCCAAACGTTTGTTTCAGCAGAGACTGTGGGGCGCTGAACGCGGGCAGTGCAACTACGGCAGCTGAGAAGGACATTCTCGGCGTACTTGTTGAAGAATTGTGGAGCCTGAAAAAACGGCGACTGATCGGCGTTGGAGTGACAGAAAGCTGAAATCAGACCTGTTCTGTGGAGCTTTAAGCTGTAGCCTGCAAGGCTAAGCTAACGCGAGTGCACGGTGCCTCCCACTGCAGTACGGGCTCGGTTCTAGCAAACCCATGATTAAAAACAGAGACTCTATTTGAGAACACAAATTCGAATGATACATAAATATAACAGTTTTAACAATCATTCTTTGGTCCTGTTTATATTCTTTGCCACAGTTTTACTATCATAAATGTTTATTTATGGTTCCGCCTTAATGAAGAGCTGGATACGGTTTGAGCGCTGAGAGAAAAGATTTGGGTGACTATTGATTTCTAGTGTCAGCTACGTTAGTCTCAGAGCTGCAGTGCTAAAATGAAGAAGCAGAATTCAGACACCAAACACGTCTCACTACATTCAGCACAGCGAGTCAGTCTCAGTCATTACTCACTGTTAGTACACAGAACCACAGAACCCATCCACAGGTTCCGCAACCTCAGCAGAGCCTCGAGCATAACAAGATAATTAACGTCTCTCTCTCTCTCTCTCTATGAGGTGTGGTGTGTGTGTGTATGTAAATGTGTAACGGAGACGGAAATGCCAGATGGAACCTGCTGATGCAAATACACACACACACACACACACACACACACAGACTCTAATGGACTCTAATGGACTCTTAATGAACACGTTAACTTTAATAAAACAGAAGGTGAAAGTATTAAAAATGATATTTACTGTGAAGTTTAGTGTTTATTAGTAGTTTACTGTAAAGACAAACCGCCAATCATCCGTTTTACTACACTGACTACACTGAGTCCTAATGACCCAATCAGAACACGGTTCTCCTGTTTACACAGACACACTGATGTGAAACACTGAGTAATTAATTTTTGTACTTTAGTAGTTTTTAACAGTATTTTTAAATGTGGAGCTGCTGCTGCTGCGCTGTGTCTGTTCAGCTCATCACTGAAACGTTATGTCATCCGTTCTTCCTTCAGGTTTACAGAACAGATCAGTGTTTCATTCCCACCTTGGTAGATCATGGAGAACCCCTGAGCCTGGTTCGTCCTGTCCGAGTAAAAGTACAGGATGACGAAGTCAACGGTGATGTTGACGATTTCCCGTGGCGGATTTCGGCCATCGAATCTCGCCACCACCTGATTAGTGTAACCATCCAGGAGCTCCACCATGTCGGCCTGGTCCATGATGCTGAAGAAGGTGAAGTTGAAGAGAATGAACGAAGCGCCCGGAACCTGAAGGAGCAGAACAGAGAGAACAGTGATGTTATACACTAACTGGCCACTTTATTAGAAACACCCACCTTGTGCTTCCGCTAACTGGCCACTTTATAAGAAACTCCCCCTTGCGCTTCCATTAATTGGCCACTTTATTAGAAACACTCCCTTTGTGCTTCCATTAACTGGCCACTTTATTAGAAACACCAACCTTGTTGCAGGAATACCACTGCAAATACATAGCAACACCCTAGCAACCACCCAGAATACCAGAGGAACATCCTAGCAACCATCCTATAACCACCTAGCAAAACTCTAGCAACCACTGTGCAACACCACCTGGGATACCATGACAACACCCTAGTAACTGCCTAACAACCGTCCTAGTTTTTCAGGACCATGAACTTAATGATCTATCTGTCCATCAAGGCATCTGGTCGGAGACTTCATGCTAATATGAAATGGATGCAGAGCTCCAAACTCATCTGAACAGGTCAGACAGAGAGAAGCTTCACATTATTTTATTCTCAATGATTTTAATCAGAGGCTGCTGTTTCTACTGACGCGTGTTTTTATCTAAGTGTTTAAACAGCATTAAATTAGCATTAGCCAGCTTTATAATTTCTTACTGAATGAAGTACTAAAAGAACTATTTATCTTTGTCTTTTTTTGCTGCAGGTGTGTATGTGCTGTAGAGAGTACTGAGTAATCAGTAAAGTAATCCCATTACAGTCTGAGTGAAGTAATCAGTCATTTGTAATGGATTACTTTGTTAGAGTAAAAACCCAACACTGCAGAGAACCACAGCAGAAATATCTGATGGAAAAGGTTCTGAAGATGAATGAACATGCAGAAGTACCTGGATGGTCCAGTAGCAGACCCGTCCAGCCGCATACTTGTCTGGAAAGTCCGGTGAGTAGATGACGGCCGACTGAGACGTGTAGTTTCCACCACAGGCTCCCACTTTGGCTGAAAACACAGACACACTACAGTAAGACACACAGTGAGAAATCAGGCTGAATGATTCAGACTGAGTATCAGTATCGTGATTATACTGCGACATACTTGTGATTGATTGTGATAATTCTCACACTTTTTAAACACTACTGAGTCAGTAACTGTGACCTGCACTGTTTTCACTAGATTAGTGAATATACAGTACTTCACCTTCATCATTTACATTGTGATTTATCTCGTTCTTGTTCTTCTTTGTTTTTTCTGCTGAATTTTTGTCCAACTGTCTAACTCCTCACACAGTTTTCCAGATATACACACGGTTCCAACTCCAGAATATTCCCTCTGATAAGGAATGCTGTTCTTACAGACAGCTTTTTGATTGGTTTCTGCATAGCAACGTTTTTTGAATGAGTGGTAAAAGATTGTGGGCAAAACTTTGCACACACATCACCATGGCACAAGCACACTCGCAACACTAATGGCGCAATACTACTGCCATCACCAAGCAAATCCAAGCCATCACCTGGGACACCACTGCAACCACCTTGCAACACCCTAGCAACCACCTGGGATACCAGAGAAACATCCAAGCAACCATCTAATAACCACCTAGGAACACTCTAGCAACCACCTGGACCACAGCAACCTCCTGGGATATCACTGTAACCACCATGCAACACCATAGGAACCTCATGGGATACCATGACAACACCCTAGCAACCACCTAACAACCACTTAGCAAAGCCAAAGCAATCACCGAGCCACCTATATCACCATGACACATGTACACAAGCAACACCCTATTAATCAAATGGGATACCACAGCAAACTGGAATACTATTGAAACCACTTGCAACCGTAGCAACCACCTGGGATACAACACTCTAGTAACTACCTAACAACCACCTAGCAAAGCCCAAGCCATTACACAGGATTCCCCTGCAACCACCTAGCAACACCCTAGCAACCACCCCGGATTCCAGAGCTACCACCTGGGAGACCGTAACAACATGCTAGTAACCACCCAACAACCACCTAGCAAAGCCCAATTAATCACTTGGGATACCACAGCAACCACTTAGCAACACCCTAACAACCACCTGAGACATCAGAGCAATAACCAAGCAAACATCTAATAACCACCTAGCAATCGCCTGGAATACCATAGCAACCACCCCACAACACCATAGTAACACTAGTGACTGTGACTCAGACTGTGACTCAGACTGTGACTCAGTTTGTCCATGAATATTTTTATAGATATTTTTATAAATGACCGATATTTTATAGATAACAGTGTCAGAAACCACATAATCAAGTCTATTAGAGATCCTGAACAGCCCCACTACGCTACCTTTCACTACTCGTTAGTTACATCAGCCTCGCAGCTTGAATAAACTGTAGACGCTGAAATTCTTAGTCTTAGTTAATCAACTACATTTACAGTAAAGGAGGAAAACTGTAAATATGACAAGCTATCGCTTCAAAGGAGGTAATTACACTCACTGTCGAAGACGATGACGTGTCCGTCTCCGCCGCAGGGCTGCTGCTGGTCCCCAAAACACACATGGCTACACTCCAAACTGGGGAGATGGAGATGGTAGTCAAGGTCGTTGCCACAGAAACAGGCATAGCCCGACTCCATCCCGGCGAGCTGTCAGAGAGAAAAGGCAAATGAGGGAACGTCAGGAAGCACATCAGACTAGAATGAGCTGCTTTGTGCAACGAAAGAAAAAGAAAAAGCAAAAAAAGCATCTGCAGAAATGAGTCGGAGGCCGTTATCTGTGCCTTATCAGACAAAAGGAAACGAGAGCAAACGATTAAACGTGTCTGCAGTGTTTAGAGCTGAACGTCTGATGAGTCACTCTCTTCACCCGCCAGCGTCATTAAGCTCAACAGCGGAATCAAGTCAGGACACGAATCACAGCGAGTCAAGTGAAGGATAGGCGACTCAGAGCGCGCTCGGGCCTTTCCCTCCAATTACAGCACATACGCCTCGCTCTCCTGATTCAGCGCTCCGACGTTCACCGACATCCACCACTGTACGGTCATCCCAAAGAGGAATTCCACCCAGTTTTACAGATTTCTGCATAACTAAGTGATTAATATGTAAACAGAGTCGTTCAGGGCGGTTCAGAGTGGTTTGGTGTGAAACGCTCAGTTCCAGAGACACTTACCGAGTCAGAGCTGTTCACAGTGGTGGTGATAGGAACCAGACGTCCACCTCTAAAAGCTCCCTCACAGAAAGTTCCTACATGAAATGGTTATGAATTCACTGCCTGATGACTGAGACACTGTTTTATGATCGTTTAGAGAACTTGAACTCCATTCATGGTGGAGGGATACATGCAGGGCGCTGTGAGGCAAAATAGTCCCCAAAGAAAACTTTTTCAGATTTTCCACTATTTTCCATCATCAACATTCCATATAAACTCAGAAGACTCGTGTAGGTTCACTGGTGGTTCTGGATAGTAAATAAAATGTCTATATCTGTGTTGTAGTCATGGCGACCCCTGGTTCCTATCACCACCACTGTAAAGACACCTGAACCATTTCACACCAAACCACTCTGAATCACTCTGATTACATCTCACACACTGAGTTATGGAGGAATTTTAAAAAATTTGGTGGAATTCCCACTTAACACGTTCTTATATCTCTTTAATGATGTTTAATGTTGTATGAGTACAGAAGTAGAGATGTGGGAAATACGGACGGGCACATTAATATTCCCTCAGCTCACGACTTCAATGCTTCATATTTTATAACTTACAGCATTCGAGTCTGATACTGATTTTACTGGGCTAAACACACTGTACATCGTGTATATATATGTTTAATTTTTATTTAGTCTTATTTTATGTCATCATTTGAGTCCTGAGACTAAAAATGTATAAATATATATATATAATATATATATATATATATATATATATATCTAAATTTTTTATTTTTTTTTTTTTTTTTTTACCACCTGGGATACCATAGCAACGCCCCTGCAACACCTTAGCAACCACCTTGGGTACCATAACAATGGCCTAGCAACACCTTAGCAACCATCTGGGATACCATAGCAATGGCCTAGCAACATCTTAGCAACCACCTAGGATGCCATAGCAACGGCTTAGGAAAACCTTAGCAACCACCTGGGATACCACAGCAATGGCTTAGCAACACCTCAGCAACAACCTTGGGTACTATAACAATGGCCTAGCAACACCTTAGCAACCACCTGGGATACCGCAGCAATGGCTTAGCAACACCTTAGCAAACATTTAATTTACTATAAAAGATGAAAGCAGTGGTCAGAGCGTTGGTGAGATCTAGAACGGTTAAAGAACGTTCTTTCTCAATGTATTTTCACACTAATAATGTAGCCAAGCATAGACTAACATATTTAATTGTTTTTTGCATATAACAGGTTTATTTACCTTTTAATCCTGAACTCCACTATAACGCAGACTGTCTCGGTCCCCACACTGCTGCGCTGAACCGTCTGTTTAAACAGTAACAACGCTGTTTGTAGCACTAACTAGAGGTGCTGTTTAGTACAGAGCACAGCCGCACCCACCCTGTCAACACCTGGCAACCCTCGGTTTTTTGGTTAATTATATGTGACTTGAAATGAAGGAGAGACTTTATCCAGGCCTTCCTAGGACTACATTACCCACGGTGCACTGCTCACCTTGTATCTCTGGTTGCGGCAGAAGCTGATGCAGTTCTGGATGGTGAGAGTCTGTGAGGTCTGATAGCTCTCGGCCAGCGGTGGGGGGTGACCATTGTCCTTAAAACATCCCAGAATACCCGGCACTGAGAGAGACACACAGAGAGAGACACAAAGAGAGACAGTTAATGTTTTCTTATCATCGTACAGAGGCTGATAAAGGACTGTCACTTTATTAGCGGTTGAAAAAGCTTTGAAGCAATAGTTTAGCATCAAATCAAATCCCCCCAGTTTAGCTCCGCCCATTCAGCCTGCAGATCTTTAGCCCCACCCATTCAGCCTACAGATGTTTAGCCCCGCCCTTTCAGTCTACAGCAGTTTAGCCCCACCCATTCAGCCTACAGCAGTTTAGCCCCGCCCGTTCAGCTACAGTAGTTTAGCCCCACCCATTCAGCCTACAGCAGTTTCAGGCTGGACTGCTTTTGGAATGAGGTGCAATATAGGGCAGCCAATCAGAACAGAGCTCATTTATATATATCAGTATATATGTATACAGTAACAGAAACAGCCTGTTTAACTGTGAGGGATAGAGAGAGGCTGAAAAACAATCATGTAGAAATGAATTATGACTTTTAACATAAATGTTATGTTAAAGTAGATCAGAAAACATAAAATACAGTAAAATGTTGAAAACGGGCTCTTTAACATTCATCCCTCACTACTGTACACAGAGTGTGTGTAAGAGAAGTGTTCTACTTTACTCACACACACAGTGCAGGTTAAAGGACAGTGAGAGTGTAAATCAGTGTGTGTGTGTGTGAGTGAGTGTGTGTGTGTGTGTGTGTGTGTGTGTGTGTGTGTGAGTGTGTGAGTGTGTGTGTGTGTGTGTGTGTGTGATGTATGCAGTGAGACTCAGTGCAGACGAGGACGCCGCTGTCGTGTCTCTACACGCTCGTCTGCGCTGCTGCCCGAATGAAGCAGACAGATCCGGCGGTCAGCCCTGAGGGTCAGCTAAATCTTTAATCACAGCACGGGACATGCCTCTGGGCACACACACACACACACACACACTCACTCACACACACACACACACACACACACACACACACTCACACACACACGGAGTAGTATGAGATTACATATATAAACAGTTATATGTATATATGTATAAATGGCCGTCAAGTGATTAAAAATATGATTAATTGCTTTATTCTGTGTTGTTATTTACGATTCATTGAATTTCTTATTTGTTCCATTTCCATTTAAAAAGCAACAATAATAATAATGACAAATAATAACACTGTTTTGCGAAGTTACTCATGATTAATCTCACTGTTTTGGTTAGTTGATTAAAATTAATCACTACTAATCACATTATTAATATTGATTACTTGCGTTTTGTTTAGTTAGTCACACTGTCTAGTTCAGTTAATCAAGATTAACTGCATTTTTCTTATTTGTTCATAAAAATGTAATACTTGAGAAATATTAATATGTTATTATAAACCGGCCGTACGTCTCCACTACAATTAAAAACGTAAAGTTTGTTTTGAGTTTCTACCATTTATGAACAATTCAGCCGAAAGCTGAGTGAGTGTTATTGTTCCTCCCCACCTCCAACACAGGAGGGGCTACCGGTAACGGACAGAGACGTGACGCTGGGGGTCTAATTAATACGTTATTATATTAATAATTAATAAAGAGATTTTAACTTTTTTAATAATTTGAGTAAAGCAAAGACAAAGGCTTGTTTTATAGAGGAGTTTCAGTTAAGCATATATTTTCATTACAGCACAGCAACGGACTACACACTTAAAAATGATGGTTCTTCAAGGGTTCTTCAGTAAAGAAAATGTTTCTACATAGAACCACAAACGCTCAAAGAAGATTATATGACTAAATGGTTCTTTGCATCGTAAAAGTGTTCTTCAGATTGACGGAGAACTGTGTAGTAGATGGTTCTATGTAGCACCAAAGGGTTCTGCTATTGTAACAAGCCTGACATTGTAACAATAGGAGAACTCTTTTTGGTACTATAATGAAGCATTTTCAAAAAGGTTCTGTATAAAACCATCTACAGCACGTTCTCCATCAATCTAAAGAACACTTTCGCAAAGGGTTCTTCAAGTGTTTATGATTCTATATAGAACCATTTTCTTTACTAAAGGACCCTTTAAGAACCATCAGTTTTAAGAGTGTAGCAACACCTTAGCGACCACCTGGGACACCACAGCAACGACTCAGTCAGGCCGACTTAAAGCTTCTCTGTGTAATTTCCTCTTCTATTTAACACACTGACCACACACAAACACTGACCACACTAAACCAAACATTCAGTTCATTACAGGAGCTGAATGCAGTGGTCAGAGCGCTGTGGGGCCTAAAGGATTCACAGATACAAGATGTCTGACCCCTACAGCTCCCCCATCATCACTCTCCTCCCTCCATCATCACTCTCCTCCCTCCATCATCGCCCCATCATCACTCTCCTCCCTCCATCATGCCCCCCAATCACTCCTCCCTCCATCATCCCCCATCATCACTCTCCTCCCTCCATCATCGCCCCCATCATCACTCTCCTCCCTCCATCATCGCCCCCCATCATCACTCTCCTCCCTCCATCATCACCCCCATCATCACTCTCCTCCCTCCAACATCACCCCATCATCACTCTCCCCCTCCATCATCACCCCCATCACTCCCTCCTCCCATCGCCCCATCATCACTCTCCCCCCATCATCACTCATCACTCTCCTCCCTCATCACCCCATCATCACTCTCCTCCCTCCATCATCACCCCATCATCACTCTCCTCCCTCCATCATCGCCCCCCATCATCACTCTCCTCCCTCCATCATCGCCCCCATCATCACTCTCCTCCCTCCATCATCGCCTCCATCATCACTCTCCTCCCTCCATCATCACCCCCATCATCACTCTCCTCCCTCCATCATCACCCCATCATCACTCTCCCCCTCCATCATCACCCCATCATCACTCTCCTCTCCACTCCATCATCACCTCCATCATCATCACTCTCCTCCCTCCATCATCGCCCCCATCATCACTCTCCTCCCTCCATCATCGCCCCCATCATCACTCTCCTCCCTCCTCATCACTCTCCTCCTCATCACCCCTCATCCTCCCCCTCCATCATCACCCCATCATCACTCTCCCCTCCATCATCACCCCATCATCACTCTCCCCCTCCATCATCACCCCATCATCACTCTCATCCCTCCATCATCACCCCATCATCACTCTCCTTTCTTCATCATCACTCTCCTCTCTCCATCATCACCCCATCATCACTCTCCTCCCTCCATTATCACCCCCATCATCACTCTCCTCCCCCCATGATCACCCCATCATCACTCTCCTCCCTCCATCATCACTCTCCTCCCTTCATCACCCCCATCATCACTCTCCTCCCTCCATCATCACCCCCATCATCACTCTCCTCCCTCCATCATCACTCTCCTTCCTCCATCATCACTCTCCTCCCTCTATCATCACCCCATCATCACTCTCCTCCCTCCATCATCACCCTCCCCCCATGATCACCCCATCATCACTGTCCTCCCTCAGTCATCACTCTCCTCCCTCCATCATCACCCCATCATCACTCTCCTCCCTCCATCATCACCCCCATCATCACTCTCCTCCCTCCATCATCACTCCATCACTGTCCACCACAGGATAAAGAGACAGTTTAGTTAAGCAGGTTAAAGAGATAGTTTAGCTTAGCAGGTTTGTGGAGGTACGAGGCTAATGTAGCTACACCTAACAGGAGTTTATACCCCACCAATCAGCATTTAGTCCACCTTTATAAATAAACAGTGTCTGAAACATAATCAAGACTGTTAGAGGTACTGAACACCTCCACACTGCTTTAGACGCTAGTGATGATGCTAATTGGTGGGTATAAGCTTCCATTACTTATTAGCTACATTAGCCTCATAGCTCTAGAAGCAAACTTGGTGAGGAGCCTGTAGTTCATCCTGTGTTTGGAGTCTGAAGGTTCTTTAGTATTTAAAGCTGGAATGGGAGTTTAGCCTCTGAAAAATCAATAAATCAGGACAAAAGTGTTGAAAAAATAGACATTTTCATAATTTTGCAGTCACACATTCAGCGTATCTAGGACATGTTCCATTTTCACCAGAAGGGGGCGACCAAGTCTTACAGGCTTTTCACACAGTTTTACAGACAGAAATAAAAGAAAATGTCCTTTTGAAAACATCAGCTTAGCACTGCAGCCTTAGACGTCATTTAAGGTGGAACGGAAAGTCTGAAGACGTTCACCAACACATCTGATAACTTGGGCATGCAGTTAGCATCATGCTAACTGGGGAAGTATAAGTTTCCCTAATTTGTTAGCTACATTAGCCTCGAAGCAAACTTCAGACTTCAGACACGTCTCAGCGGATCATCTACATCTGGGGTAAGTGCTGGGGTAAACTATCGCTTTAACCACAGGCTTATCCATCTCCCTGAGGCACTAAGTGAACTCAGAGAGGGACTGGGGGGGTGAGAGAGAGAGAGAATAAGAGACAGGGAAGGAGAGAGAGAGAGAGAGAGAGAGAGAGAGAGAGAGAGAGAGAGAGAGAGACAGGGAGAGAGAGAGAATGAAAGATGTGTCTCTCTCCACCACTTCAATAGCAGGACTGTAAAGCGCTGCGATTAGCACTGCAGGGCTGAGTGGAGATTAAAGGCTGTGATGTTTCTGCTCCTGACAGAGACAGAGCGATCAGCTCCACACCGTCAATTTCCCAACCCTCAACCCCTCATCATGCGCAGGGTTCCAGACCCCGGCACCCAGGGGCTCCCAGTGACCGCACCCCCCTAGACAAACCAGGGCTGTCTGATTCAATCAGCAGGACAGCAAATACAGCACCACATCACAGAGCCCTCCGGGTCCGTCTGTTAGTCAGGACCGCTCGGTGGTTATGCTGACCCGCTTCAGGACCGGCTTAGGTCAGCATTTCACATCAAAACAGCCTGGACCAATCAGGGCTGAGCTTCCAACCAATGAGGGCTGAGCTTCCAACCAATGCGGGCTGAGCTTCTGACCAATCAGGGTTCACATTCTGACCAATAAAGGCTGAGCTTCTGACCAACTAGGGCAGAGCTTCTCACCAAACAGGGC